CTTCCGAAGCTAAACCAATTACATCAGGCTTACTTCCAAGTTTCAATATTATCTCCTTGATATCAGCCTCAGGAATGGATTCCTTTCTCATCTGGATGATCCATTCGGGTGTCTGAATATCTTTCACCACATCAGCACTAAGAGTTTCTGAATTCTTAACACTGTAATCTAAATTACACAAAGCTAATTGTGTCACAACGGCAGATTTAAACAAAATCTTACCACACGCTTCATTAGGAGCCTTGATGCCCCAATCAAGCAACAAACTTTTTATTTCATCTCCAGAAATATCTTTGATTTTTGGATCATTCATTCTGACCAAAAATTCTCACAACCTTATCACCGCTAAACTTTACAAATTCACCAAACGATAGCGTTTCTCAAAATTTCCAGCACCAAATAGTCACTTTAAACACTTGATCCTGCTACGATCGCCATGTGTAAGCATATCTCTCTTGATTCACCAAAATTAGGACTTTTATCAATTAAACGCAAAAGATTGCAATCAGGCCTTACACAAATACCTGATATTCAATTCGAATCAAGGATCAAATGTTTATTGTAGATTAATTGATGGTGTTCACTAAATTAGAATTTAACTGAATTAGGAAGCACAATAGAAAAGGAATACAAAATCGGGTAATCTTTGAAAGAATAAGAATAAGGTTAATCACGAAAGTTACAAAATACAAAGAATCACTATAATTGTAGAATGTCAACTCTAACTCTTTGAATTTTTCCATCTCCTTTTATACTTGATTTCACGGAAAAGGAAATTACATTGGAATTTCAATTGTAGACAATTCTAGAAGAACAAAATTCTTAATCAATTCACAAGGAACTAATTAACTCGGAATTTAACAAAAACACAAAAATAGAAAATTGGTTCTTCATTAGTCAAATGACCAAAGAGAACAAAGGAAACAAGGAAGAAAGAAATTATTCTCTTAATCTATTAGGGATCATCACTAAATTACCATCTTTTTAGGTATTTAGGTTAAGATGATTAAACAATTTGAATCAATTCCAAAGAGAGTAAATTTCTACCCTTCAAGATAAAACAATATTCATGGTGATATTAAAGTTTAAAGATCGAGATGATAAAATAAAAGATGAACAGGAAAAAAAGCCCATAATGTTTAGGAAACTAACTAATTTAATATCATCCTCATCTTCATCAGAAGTAGCAGTTGTAGTAAACACAGTTACCTGGAATTGTAACCCAATAGGAGATAATTTCATTCAACCTTTCATGTAGTAAACTTATTTACTATTTTATTGTAACCTCGCAGTGGGAATAGGAGTTTTTTTTGTTCAAATTCTGGTAACAAAACAAAGCAAAAAAAAACAGGTAGACAGCATGATAATCAATTGAGGTAGATTATTATTGTAGTTATAAATTAGAGGTTATTTTGTGGCTAATTTGATTAGATCAAGTTACGCTGGTAAATTATATACCCGTTTCTTTTTTGGGGTGGCCCAATAGTAACTTTATATACAATGTTATCTTGACCGTTAATGAGAGAGGTCAGTTGTCATTGGAAATAAAATTCATGTTTCATTTTTCATGGTGTAACTAAAAGGTGAGATGAAATCAAGTAAAAAAAAACAATTAATGAAAGGTTATCATGAAATGTGAGTTGATTATCAACATGATGTACAATAACAGGATAAATAACACAAGATAATCATTGTTTAGCTACAATAATAATGGTATTGTTACAGTAAACAAGATGATATTTGTTGATAAGATTTTTAGTTTTCTCTCTCTCTCTCTCTCTCTCTCTCTCTCTCTCTCTCTCTCTCTCTCTCTCTCTCTCTCTCTCTCTCTCTCTCTCTCTCTCTCTCTCTCTCTCTCTCTCTCTCTCTCTCTCTCTCTCTCTCTCTCTCTCTCTCTCTCTCTCTCTCTCTCTCTCTCTCTCTCTCTCTCTCTCTCTCTCTCTCTTGTAATCAATTGATAATCAATCATTCATAAACCTTGACCTAATCACAGATTGATGAGAAAGTCTATTAGATTAATTATTATGAATGTAAATTGTTGATTGTGTGTACGGGTTTTACCCTTGTTATCATTAACTAAACAACAAATCACAGTTGAGTGTCAAAAACTGATTGTTTACATTGATGTAAACACTTATCGTGGTAAAAAAAGTAAAATAAAATTGTACTAATATTAATTGTTGTTCAACAATTAAAGTGAAAGTTAAATCGTTAAACAAAAAGGAGGGAAAATAATAACAACACCTTTGCAATTAGATGATTAAACAGATTCATTGACTTTTCTATGATAATATTAGTAGATTGATAATCAACATCCTGCAAGCATTTCCGTTTCTCGTTGATTATTTTTTTTCAGCCAACTAATTGAAATAATTGATTAAAATGTTTTGGGTTAACATGGATGAAAAGATGTCTTTCTATGCGTATCAATTAACAACAATTAACAGAACAAGCAATTAAGATGTAGACTCAGCAATTGTGTATTTATATGTAACTAAACAGTAAGATGTTGGGAGTGGACAGGGTGGGGTGGGTAGGGAATGATTAATAATCACATATGTAAACTTAAGCAACGAAATGATAACAACACAAGGTCCACACGCCATCACATGCTTGTGTTAACTTTTTAGGCTGTTTGTTGATTGTTGATAATTAAGTTAATTGTTTGTATTGTTTTCATCTGTTTGAGAAAATGATCAACTTTCAATGGGTTTAATAGTTAATCTCAATGGGATTAAAATTGTTATCATTGCTTATGGATTAGGAGTGAGTACGGAAATCTGGTCTATTATGATGAGCAGCGATAAAAACAGTTAATTGTTGATGATTAACATTATTTTTGACAACGTGGTTTGTTAATAAATAGTATTAATAGTTAATTGTGATGTTTGATTGAGGTAATATAAATTGTTATTGTAGTTAGTTAGTGATTAAAATTGTTGGAAAATTATTTTTGAAAGGTTGATTAGTTTAATCAACTATTGTTGATTAGAATGATCATTTTTAATTCGTATTGATTGTTGTGTGATTTAGTAATTTGAGAGATTCAAACATTAATCATGGTGGAGTAAGAAAAAAAAAGTCATGATTAGTTTGAATGGTTACATATTTTGTCAATTAAGTTGATCGTTAAATTTTTAAGAATCAGTCAAATTGTTTAGTAATTATTTTCAATCAGTAATTACAATCTACTTTTGACTCGATATTAATCAGTGATTATCAATTAAGTGACAATAATAAACCTAATGATTATCCTGATGATTGTGATGATGAAGCTTATTAGAGGTAATGATTAGTTGATTGTTGAGAAGATTGAAACAATCAAGATAAATAGAAATTATTAGTTGGTTCGTTTTAGTTGCGAAAAAAGTTATTAACTTTCAATCGTGAAAGTGAAACAATTAACAAACCTCATTATGGTGAATTAACTAACAAATAATAACAATCAACAAGTAGTTTAATTAAGATTAAGATAGTTAATCAAAGAAAGAGAGAGAAAATAATCAGTAGACAAAAATGATTACAATTTAAATCGATTCCGTTGAATTTTGGTTTAATTATTTAGTAGTAGTTTAAAGATTGACACTTTTATCAAGTAAAAGTGATTAAGATACTGATGATTTTGAGAGATGATTAAAAGTTAATCATGATTAAGAAAAAAAATGAAAATTTTCATTAGAAAAGTTAATCAACTAAATCACTTTTCCATCATCACTGTGTTGGTTAAATTAGATTGACCTTAATTGATTGAGAGTGAAATTGATTCACATTTCAATAAGTATATTCAGTGCTGACTGAATACCCTTGGCGACAAAAATTTATTATCACTATTAAATTGTAATATAATGAGGATGTATAAATAATCATCAATGAGTTAGTTTAATTGTGAATACTAAATCAATAACAAAATTGGCCTCACGTAAAGGCCAGTAAACTAAATTGGCCTGAGGTGATTTAAATCGCTTTCAACGAATGACAAATAAATAAATAACCTAAAAAATGATTTTAAATGTAATTTGATTTGATTGGTAGAAAATCAATTGATCTCTTCCTAATTTTTTTCACTTTGATTATTAAATGAACAATTCGTATCTGAATTTAATCATAAACATGATTGAATTCATGATGAGTGATTTCAAGTCAAGTCAACAAATAATCAAAAATTAATGATTATTGATTAGTTTGATCATTGAGAGTTTTTTTTTATTAAGAATCAGTGTTGTTTTTGTTTGCCATTGAATAAATAATTAAGTTAATTAATTAGTGACAAGAAAACTGGTTAGTTTGATTAGTTGGTTACTTATAATTGCTGTTAGTTAATAACAATGTCTAAGTTTTGATTAACTAAAAACCGGTAAATTGGATTGATTTAGTTATCATTAAACATCAAAGTTTTTACTTGATTAATCAGTGAAAACAAGTTTACAATTAAAATTGATTCACTGTTAGCGGGAAATATTTTGATAATTAAATTTTAATTAGCATTATATTGTTTTGGTAAATGCTAGCTTTTAAATCAACCTGATTAGACCTTTTTTCTTGATCAGAATATGATGACAATTAACAATACAATTTGTGTGTGTAAAAATGGGACAGTTAAGAAATCGTTCAAATGATTTACTAAATGTACAATTAAAATCGTAAATAATACAAATGTAAATCTGTAATTTTAAATGGTTAATTGTTGGTTATCAGTTTTTTTTGGCAAACACAATAAGTTACCGATACAATTGTAATACAATTGAATTGGTTAGGGTTAGTGTTTGAAGGAAAAATGTCAAAACAATTAATTATCGTCGATTATATCAGAGTAATTAAACAATTAAGATCGACAAGACGTCAGTGTTATGATAAAGATAAACAATAATGATAAAAATTGGGCTATGACGATCATTAATTAATTGATTTATTAAATCAAACAATTAAAAGACGTTGATGGTCATACGTTGGCGAAAATGTTAGAAATGGAAATGATTATCGTTATTAATTGTTAAACTTACCATAAATCGTCAACAACCCGAACCAAAAGTGCAAATGAATTTTTGGCTGCTCGTTGTTTTGAATCAGTACAATTGGTAAATTTGTTATGACGGTAGATTAATTTGTTAATTAATTCCATAGGGTTAATGAAGGTTCGATAAGTAGTAAGAAATGCTTCTTGAAAGAGGAAATCTAAATTTTCAGAGAAGAGAAAAGGTAAAATCATCAATAATAACATGCAAGAGAGAGAGAGAGAGAGAGAGAGAGAGAGAGAGTGGTTAATACTAATTAATTTAATTGTTTACCATTTTTGGAAACTTCGGTGGCTTTAACGATAAGTACATCCACGATTCCTCCTCTAATTTCGGGTCCATCGTCATCGGGATTTTTGTAGACTAGGTAAGGGGACACATCGATTTCATCCAGTGGTCCTGAACATTCATCGGTAGTCCTTATTGATTCCGATTGTGAACTGACACCACTACAATTAGAAATTAAACTTAATTTACGAAATAAACTATTGGTTTTGGTGAAAACATGAACTAAAATGCTCATATTTGATTATAATTAAATTATTGTTATTGTTGGTTGAGAAGAAGAATGGAAAACAATCAAGAGTTAATTGTTGAACACAATCAATTTTCATCAAATTAATATGGTTGGTAACATATCAGATGATTTTATCATCTTCACATCAATAATCAATTGAATTTGTATTGTTGCTGATGATAATGGATGAACAAGGAAGATGGAAAAATGAATTGAAATTTAAGGATAAATGTTAACAATCATCTGATAAAAAAGGCTAATCAGTGACAATTATCACATATAAAAGATACAGAATATAACATTCATAAAACTAATATAATAGTTTTCGCAATGAAATTCAAACTTGAAATAAGCCAAGTATCAAAAGTTAAGGAGGAAGATGAAAAAAAAGAGGAGGAGGAGGAGGTGGTGGTAGTGATGATGGAGATGAGGGAGAGTAAACTAATCCATGAGATAGTCTGGACTAACAAAATCCTCCTACTTATAACGAGTTCTAATGGTGAACTGAATAGCTTAATGTTTGAAATAAGAGGGAGTAGGGGGAAAAAGGTGGAGCAAAGTGAAAGAAAGAGAGAAAATAAGAGAGAAAATAAGATGGAAATAAAGAAAGAGAGAAAAAAGAGAAAAAGAGAGAAAAAGAGAGAGAGAGAGAGTTTTTTGCCCTGAGGGGGTTTTAGGTTCTATTTTGTTTTTGTTTACAAAACAAACTTGGAGGGAACTGGATTCAAATGATGTTGTGAGTTAACTAAATGTTTTCTTTTTCTTCTTGATGAATTTAAGTTGATTCAGTTTTTTAAACTAAAATCAATAAAATCAATTGATTCTTTTTATCATATTTACCTTTGAGATGACGGAACTACTGTTGAACTTGTTTTAGGTGGTGATGATGGAGGTGGCTTAAGTTCTGGTAGCAGTGGTGGTGGAGGTGGTGGTGGTGGTAGCTCTAATTCATGGAATTCAGTATCATCGATTTGAAGATTTCCGATTGAGTTTTCATTAACTTGCTGAGATTCAGGAAATTGTGATTTTATCTGTTGATTATCACCAAATTGTGTTAATTGTTGAAGTTCATGTAGTGGTGGTGGTGGCGGTAGGATAAACTGTTGTTGGTAGTGGTTGAGATTATGGTTGTAATGATGTTGTTGAGAGATTAATTGTTGTTGTTGAAGGTGAATCTGTGATTTAGCTTTAGGTGGTAGACTTGGTGGTTTATCTTCATGATCAGAGGTTGAAATCCGTTCATATGAAATGTTGGCCGCTGATGATGATGTTTCCGTATTTGATTCAAGGGATGGGATTGAATCATCTGATTCAATTGTGGTGGAAGAAATTTTCTTCATCTGTGAATTAAAGGTTGACTCTAATTGTTGCCATGAGTAAAGTTTACTCGCTGAATTGATTAAATGATAAGTGTGAACCGAATGTCGATAAATGTTAAGAACGGCATCATTTGGTCCATCATATGTTTTCCCGTTGTTTAACATGGTCATGTAGGTCATTATGTTACGTTGCTTGGGGGGTAATGGGGGTGGTTTGGTGAAATCTTCATAAAGATGATGATCACCGCCATAATTATCATCATCTTCATCGATACCATAATTGGAGTTTGTTGAATGACCGCCATTGGATGACATTGACTCAGCTTGACGGGATAAATGCAATGGACAGGAAATTGAATGATTAGTTGATTGCCAAGTTGATGCTGACCAATCATATTTATAAACACTGTTATTATTGGTTGAGGTGGGTGTTGATATTGAGGTTGAATCAAAGTCCGAAATGTTATCATATTGGGAAGGAGGACGAACTATTTCATCAGTTGTAATGGTTAATTGTTGTTGCTGTTGATTTCGACGTCGCAATTTAACTGGTAATTCAGGTGGTGATGATTGCCCACTGGCGTAATCATATATATCAGTATTTATTAAAAGCTCACTGGGAAGTGGAAATAGATCTTCATTGTTGATTGATTGTCCATCTTTGCTGGACATTGAGTCACGGATAACATTAATGGCCGGTCTGTCTGATTGTTGTTGGATAATTGTACGAGTTGTTGTTTTTGAGGTTCGAGATGAGTAAACTTTTTGACTAGAATCATCGATATCGGGTATTTGGGTGTGATAGTCATGGTGAGAAGTATCTTGACCAGTCGAACTGGTTAATGTTAGTAAATCATTACAATCGGAGATCATTAAATTAGAAAATGATTCAAGTGACATCGCATGGTGAGAGTGACAGTTAAATGCTGTTGTTGGTTTAGATGATGAATCGGGTTGATTAAATTCAGTTGAATTTTGATTAACTAGGGATGGTCGCTTAGGTGCAATCTTAATTAGATCACTGGACAGTTTCTTTTTGGGTGGTAAAGGAGGTGGAATATCAGACAAATCTGGATAATTTGTATTATTACCACAACCACCAGTAGTTGATGAGGAAGATGAACATGTTGATATACAACTATTGGTTACTGGATTAATCTGATTACAATTGGTAAATTGGATTGGAAAATTTATCGCATTGTTAACAATCATTCCTCCTCTTTTACCTCCGGGTAAATTGAAATTACATTGACTATTATTATTATTATTATTATTGCCATTCTGAGGTATATTCATCTTTGGATGATCATTAAATTTACTGCTATTTAAAAGTGAATCCGTTGAAAGTGAATGGGGAAATTTTTCTGAACACGAAGCTGTTGATGATGATGATAATGTTTTTTTATAAATGCCACTGATTGTTGGATATCCGGTTAAATTATTATTAAATTGTTGCTGTTGGCCATCAGTTAAATTTTCTCCACCATGATCATTGTAAGTAGAAGTCAGTTTATTGGTGAAAGTTGAAATGCCAACAGGGTGAGTGATTGTTGTCGAGGGTGTAACAGAGGTTACGGATATTGGCTGATGGCGGATGTTGCATGTTTTTACTGTTGAAGGTGTAGTTCCTGATGAGGATGAAGATGATGACGAGCATGATGATGATGTTATTTTTGACTGTATTGGATTTAATTCCGGTAATGAGTTACGGTGATGTGATAAACTGAAATGATCTGAATGGTTATTAGTTGCTTTCCGGGCAACATTTATTGTCCCATTGATAGTATCAGGTTTAACTTGAGTATTGCCATTGGTTTTATTATTAACATCATTTTCCTCATCGTTATTGTTGTTGTTATTATTACCATAGGTTTCATCGTTTTTCAAACTGAAAGAAGTTGAACTTTTAACTAGATTATCTCTTGATTGATAATGATCAATACACAATTGGACTAGAGTATTGACTGACTCCTTTAAATTGGAGACAATTTTTATCACCTCATCTCTATCATAATTTGACGTTTCTTCAATTAAAACACGATCAGACCATCTCATTAATTCAGCTAGACTAAGATAAACACGATCGGTTGCTGATAACATTTTAGCATTTCGATCCTTGTTAATGAGATAGGCACCAAGCTCAGTGTAACAGGAAACCACAATATCCAAAAGTATTGACGATGCTCCAGGTAATTGATTGTGAATCTCCTTTTCAACAGCATCTTGAAAATATCTTAGAGCATTGGTCAACTGTTTAACTGATGTCCAGGCATTGTGAACATTATTCTCGGTTGTGACCATCGGTTGATTATCCTTACTACTTGTGGTTGTTTTATTTTTAACTTTACGCGTGAAATGACCATTCTTCATGTTGATTATCAGCAAATATTAATGGTTGATGATGAGAGTATCAATAGAATCACCAAAATGAAAAAAGAGGAAGGGGGTAACAGAGGATAATTCTACCAGGAGAACATTTGATGTACACAAGATAAATTAAATTTACAATTAATTACATAGAATTTAATCATATTAGAAACAAAAAACCAAAAAAAAAAATACGATTTGTTTCTCTATCAGCAACACAAGCAAAGAAAAACCCTCAGGGAGACACTTACAGTTCACTTTTACCAAAACAACTAAAACCAATTTCCCTATAAAAAAGTAACAGTTGCTAAGTAACTAACTGGTTTTCTTTCCGTTTTTCTCCTTTAATTTTCATTTAACATTCACGAAGATAAACAGGCAATCGTTGGTTTAGTTGAAGAAAAAAAATCACCGAAAAAAATTGATTGATTATCATGAAAACACAGAATTAAAATGAATAGAATTTCAATTTTCTATCTTCTTTTTTTCTCAACAAATTTAATTTCGATTCTCAAGGTTAACTAATATTCGAATTGATAGAGGGCAGCACATGATTCGTATTCTTTTTTTGTTCTATTTGGAATTTGAATTAACGCCTTATGTTTGTTGTCTTTTCTTATTGATTGAATGTTTGTTAATTTCTAATTATTGATTATTGATTCGTTTGTTATTTAATTTAATTTTCTCGTTGAATTTGTTTAATTGTCAATTTGACGAGTAGTTATTTAGAATGGACAAGTTAAGAAGAGCGTTAAGTGGTGATGATGCTTCAGAGGATCAAGGATTTGCTACTCAGGTAAGAGTAGTTTTGATATTTTTTTTTCTTCTGTTTCTTTTTTTACCTTTAATTAGTTGATTTCTTTGTGATTTTCTAGGTTTTTTTTTTCTCACTAATTTAGTGGGTTGATTGATAGGATTAGTGTTTAAAAAGAAAATAAGAGAGGGAGAGAAATAGAAGAGAAAAAAAAAATGATCCATAAACAAGTTTTTCTCTTTTGTATATTCCTTCAACTTGTTGATTCTCTTCCTCGTATATTATCATTGATGTCATTCAATTTTTTTCTCACCCGGTAAATGTTATGTAATTACTCCTTGGGTTTTTTTATTATCATCAACTCTCTCTTTTTCGTATTATTTTTTGCTCGTATCAGTTGATTCTAATCAAGCCTATGAATAATTCGCGATTCATTCTATTTTTATACTATCTGATTGTATTGTTGATGAAATTGATGAAATTATAAGATATAATTACTTGTAATCATTTCTGGGAAAATGTCAGATACTGTTTGCTATTTATTACCTTGTTTATATATTTAATTTTATCTTTTCTTTATCTTTCCCAATCTAATAAATAGCTTGGCGAGGCAACTTCATTAAGCTGGTCAACCCGGATCCAAGGTTTTATCATATGTTTCATTCTTGGTTTTGTTTTCTCCATCATTGGTTCACTTTTCTTGGCCTTACCCGGTAAAGGATTAGTACTTTTCGCCATGTTTTACACTATTGGTAATCTAACCTCAATGGCGTCTACTCTTTTCTTGATGGGACCATGGAAACAATTAAAGAAAATGTTCAATGAAACTCGTTACATTGCCACAATTTTGGTTGTTGTATTTATGGTACTCACATTGGTCTCCGGTCTTCATTGGCATAAAACTGGACTTACTGTTTTACTTTGTATCTGTCAATTTCTATCAATGACTTGGTATTCAATCTCATATATACCCTACGCTCGAGATATGGTCAAGAAAACAGTAACCACTTTTGTAGCCTAAAGTAAAGGAAATCATGATGACAATCAAATTAATCAACTTCCAGCAAACAAGACTAATTGATCATCATAAACAAGCCGCGTATAAATATTATAATAGCTAATGATCTTCATCAACATTTTTTGGATCTTCAAATTTTTACAATTTCTATTTATTATCACCTATTTATCTTATCAATTTTATGACCAATTTAACTGATCAATTGTCCAGCCTCGATCAATTATCTCGCCTTAGTCAAAAATATCCACAAGGATCCAAAGATGAACGGATAAATTTTCCTCAAATCTCTCCACATGTCCACAAGAATACAATCAATAATGGTTTATAAAATTGTCCTGTAAATATTTGATTAATTACTGCACAACAACAACAACAATCAACAATCAACAAAACATATAATTATACCTCGGGACCAAAAACAACAAAATTGGGGTCAAAACTTTTATTCCAATCACATTGAAAACAAATTTTTGTTATGATTGAGATGACAATTAAGATGCGATAACTGTTTCTTAGAAATTGTTTATTACTCTCATATGATTAACTCTTAATTGTCGAAATAATTTCTCCAGAAAAAAATCAAACAAACAAATAATTATTAATGATTCGATTACTAATAATATAACTATTAATATTATCAGAATACAACATTTCCCCTCTTGACTATTTACTATTATTACTAAGAAAGAGAATGAGTAATAACAATTTGTTGATTATCACGATTTATATATAAAATAATTTCGCTTAAATATCATGAGTAAGAGATTAATTGAATCGCTTCCGTTGATGTTTCTTTTTACCAATGAATATGTGTCAACATGTTTCTCTCTCCAGGTGAGCTAAGAAAGAAAATTGTTTTCCTCTTACTCATCATTTCTCATCATTAGAATCGTCGTCATGATAATAATCACTGAATCTTTCAATTCTGTGGAAAAGGGGAAAAAGTAGGAGGAGAAAAACGAAACAAAGTGATTAAATGAAAGAGTGAGTGAGTGAGAGAGAGAGAGAGAGAGAGAGAGAGAGAGAGAGAGATAATCCATATTATGAAGACAAAAGAAAGAGAAGATAAAGAAGATATGGAAGATGAAACATCTAAACGACAAGAAGATAGTTGGCAACCCTTTATAAAGAATCCACCCAATGAAGATTCTGAGAAGACTCAGATTCTTGTGGTGATGATTCATCTTCGTTGTTGTTGTTTGAGAGAAGATCATGATTTCTCTCTCTCTTCTCGGTTACTCAGCTTGTTAGAGAGAATGAGAGAGATTGAATGTGTGTGTGTGTGAGAGAGATAGAGAGTTTCACTTGATTCATTCATGAGTTTTTTTTCTAACGAACAAGAAAAAAAAGAAAGAGAATCAAGAAAAAGAAAGAAAAAAGTATGACTCAACCACCGAGGAAAACCTTATACAATATTTGCTGATTCTTTTCCACCGGAAGCCACTTCAAATTGGAATCTCTGCCAACATGTTATCAGAATAATTATCAACATTTGATACTTGATTTTCCATCAACATCATGTAATCAACAAAAGATTTTCTTAATTTTCTATGGAAAAGAACATTGAAAATCTTTCTAATCCCAATTCATGGTTCCTTCTTTTCTCTCTCTCTCTCTCTCTCTCTGGTTGATTGATGATCGATTATTGATAATTTTTTGGAAATCGTTGAAATTAATCTCAAAATCTGAAAAAGAAAAGAAAAAATCAATTGTAATAAATTAGAATCATTGATATTCCAGTGGAAAAAAATTCGCGACAAAAGTGACATGACACCGAAAATGTTGTTGACAATCAATTGATATACTTCCGTAAAAGACCATCGATTATTGGGTGATTAGTCTATTAATTAAATACAATTAACAATGAACATGATCAAGATAATCAAAATTGATAGAATTAGAGTGTTTCAGTAAGAAAAGAAAGAGAAGAAAAAAAATTCTAAATTCTAATGAGGCCCAAAGAGGGAAAAATGTTGACAAGTAAACAACAAGTTCACCTTAAGAACAAAAGTGAATTAAGGTAACAATTAAGAGATTAATCAAAACAATTTAACCTAATTATGTTCAGTTCATTCTATGGACAAAATCAGATCAATTAAATCGACAATTAACTAATGATTAACAGAGAAAAATAACCAATTAAGTTAATCAGATGAAGAGAAAAAGTGAGAATTAAAAATTGATACTTCTTAGTCTGATTGATGACAATTTCCAAGTTAATTATTTGTTTACTCTAATTGTTAAAATCAATTGTCAATTTGATTGAAGACAATTAAATAATTATTAATTAAATAATCAATGAACCAGAGAAACAATTTATGTAAGGTCAATGTACCAATAGAATTGGAAACAAGTTTAGTTGGGAATCGGAAATTTTGTTTTCTCATCTTATCCTTTTAATTACTACAATTAGTCAACAATTAAGGGGTTAATCATATTCCATCTTAAACAATTATCAAAAATTAACCATGCAGATATAATGATTAGATTAGTTAGTTAATGTATTGTCCATTTTTGATATTGTTTCAATAAGAAAAAGTAATAATCTTTTGCATTCTCATTCAACAATCAATTGTAATTATTCAAAAGCAGAACAATTTAACTGAATTAATATTTAATGATTATGATGATGATCAGGTAATATAATTTGATGATCAGTTCAAGGGTAATGTCTATGGTTGATTGTCAAAAGATTTACTTGGTTAAGATGCAATGAGTTGATGTTTTGATTGTGTTTCGGTCTCATTTGGTTCCTTTGGTAACAATTTGGATTTAATCCAACAATTAACTAATCATTTACACTAAATTGTCAATGTACAACTTTGTTTTCCATTAATCATGAGTAATCTTTAAATCTTTCTTGCATCATAAGCTTTTCTTTGCCACTAATCCAGTAATCCAAAAAGTGATCCAGTAAATAATCAACAACAACAACCGGTTGATGATTAACAAATTGGCAACAATTAAGGATCCGTTTAAAAAGAGGAATTAAAGATTCAGAGAGAGAGAGAGAGAAATTAAAAGTCTCATAGTAAATTAGATAATTAATCAGCTACAATTATGAAATTTTCATTTTTCAGCAGAAAAGATTATCTCATAACATTGAAATCTTTTAATTGTCTAAAGTTAATTGTTGTTAATAACTGGAAGAATTAAATTAACCATTAAAATCCCGGTAGAAAGGATAAGGAGGGGATTCAAAATGGAGGAAAAAAGATCGGATTAACCCACAATTAAGGTCGAAATTGATTAAATCGTTATCGTTTGAAAGGACATTAAGTTTATACTGTACAAAATATGTATTAAATTGATTTAATATTATTAAATCAAACAAGATATCATTAGGAAAGTATTAAAACTTTACTCTAATTAATAATATTAATAGAAATTGTGTTTATATAAATGAGTAAATTTAATTGTTGTATCCTCGTTTTCAGAATGACCTCTCGTTGATTGTATTCTAATTGAACAGTAAATCACCAGTTTAATCCTTTTGTCTTTGTAAATTTTCACAGTTTCAGATTAAAATGGTCAAAGAATTAATTTCAATTGATAGATTTGGTTTAGTTTCTTGCCGTTCTGAATGAAGTTAGCAAAACTATAGTAATCAACTTCAATGTTTACTACAAGATTCACAAGATTGTGAAAACGAAGAACAATCAATCTAATTGCATTTTTTATGAATGAAAATCATGTGACCAGGGACAGAAGTTCCTGTCAATCAATGGAGGACTGATGTCCCTGACGCATGAATGCCCCTTAATGAAACCCTTCAGGCAAACGATGTGACACCCTTGTGAACAGTTCGTCTAGAAGTCTGAAATGATCAATTTAATTGATAGTTTCATCAAATCTCAATGAGATATGCCAAGCACATCAGTTTTTGTAACTGAATAACTCAATTGGTACATGTAAGGCCCGGGCAATATTTCAGTCTACTAGACACAATGTGAAAGAGTAAGTTAAAGGTTATATAGGGAGTAGATTTGGCTATTCAGTAAAAGACATGGGGCTAAAGGGCAAAGATAAGATCAACTTTCTATCAGATTTGCACCATTGATTCAATTCATTGTCATTTTTGCCACTCTCTCTTGCAAATCCTCTTTATCCCTATATCTACAATTAATATTCAATAGATAGAAATAGATGATTGAAAAATAATACCTAAAGTTTTCTTGATATTTCATATTGGGACTGAAAAGTGTTATAGCTTCAAGAATCAATCCAATTTTGAAATTTGTTTGCCAACTTTCATTAAGATCATTGATAAAATCAAGAAAATATGAAGCTGATTGGGAATTCAAATTGAAGAAACTCCATTTTATCATTTTTGATGATCCAGAGCCTAAGAGGAAGAGGAAATAAGAAATTATTGTTATCAATTGAAAATGATAATAATGTTAATCCATTTGAATGAAAAAATTGTGATATATTTTCACGAGAATGATAATAATTAATTACCTTCAATTTTCATATTCAAGGTTATCGTGTGATTATCATGCTCATCATCATGATTACTTTCATAATTGTTAATGAATATTATCATTCACCCATTGAAATGGACTTGAGTTAATGGCAGAAAAGTTCATTCAAGCTCAACAATCATCAATCTCTAGTATTGAATAGAGAGAGAGAGAGAAAAAATATGAAAATATGAAAATTTAGTAAATAATAATAATCATGATGATAATAAATTGTTGATTACTATCAGAATATTATTCAGAGGGAGATAATCATTCCAGGAATCTTATGTTACCCTTTGGTGATGAACATTAATATTGATCATTGCGTGTTGTTGGCTAGTAGGAAATTAACATCGATCCATTAACAGCAATCAAGGAACAATCAAATTAATCCAAATACACCTTAATTGTTGGGTGAGGTTGATTCGCGATTTCTGTGTAAAGGGTTAAAAAGAAAAGTGAATCAAAGAGTAGATTAATTTGTTGAGAAATACAGAAATTAGTTCATTAAAGTTTAAATTGTCATTGGCAAGAGAAACAATTAGAGTAACAATTAGGCTAATTGTGAAAATCAATCAATTGATTAGGTTTGAGATTTTTCATTCTAATTGAAATTTAATTCGTTTATAATTTTTTTGTCAGAATTTTGTTCAATGAGATTAGATAATATTGAATAACTGCTATTAGTTCATTGTTATATCTTTGTAATTAAATTGTGATTATTATGATTATTATATTATGGAGATAAAATGTCAAACTGAAAATCAATATTTCCCAGGATTTTGGTGATTCTGTCAATTCCAGGTAATAAGTATTAACTTTTTACCAAATAATAACAATCAACATGATGATAATTACCATGTCTGTGTAATACAATTTCTAGTTACTCTGTCAGTTTTATCTTCTTATTCAAATGATTATCATTTGTGACCGATATTGTTGTAATATTCAAGGTCAATGTGATGATGACAAATTGTAATCACCAATATGATTGTTAATGATATTGTTACCGAGAAATCATCATCATAATAACATTTGTCATCTCTCTCTCTCTCACTCTCTCACTCACTCACTCATTCTCTTTCTCTCTCATCTTCTTATCCTGAAGTTTATTGAATTGAAACTACTTGGGCTTTTTGAATTAAAGTTAATTGTTTGTTTTTCTCGTTGTTGTTATTAATGAATAAAATTTAAGTAAACACAATTAAAGATAATTCACTTCTGGTTTGAACTTTTCGCTCAAATCATCAGGTAGAAGCAAAAAAGAAGAGAGAGAGAGAGAGAGAGAGAGAGAGAGAGAGAGAGAGAGAGAGAGAGAGAGAGAGAGAGAGAGATGATATAAGATGATGAGAAAAGTAAAGGTAAAACCTTATAATCTTTATACGTGCGACATTATAAGTGGAAATCCCAATCAAATTATTATTTCGCGGATTTTTTGTAACAATTAAGTGTCTACCAATTTGATTATCATGATTATAATTTAACTAACATTAAACTTACACTTTGATTACGTTGATTCATTTCTGAAGCTTTTCCGTTGACGCCAATAGTAAATTCCGTCTATCTGATATCTCCTCTCTCACTCTTACTCTTACTCTCTTTCTCCCTCACTTTCTCATGGAGCTAATTGTTGTTGATTAAGGTTAAATTCAATTTTAACAGGTAGAGTACACAACAGGTAAATCTTTAAGGTCAAGAAGGTGGAAGGTGAAGGAAAAGGAGGAGGAAAGGGAAATTATGGTTTTTCCATAAAAAAAGTAGAAAGTGAAAAGAAAACAATTAATTGATTGTTGGATTGTTAATTTGTTTCTTATTACGATTTATGTATTTTTCTTTCTTCGATTATGTTTACATGTTTTCTGAGAACATGTAGATACATAAATCATAATTTGGAATATTAATTTATTTCGTTCTATTGTTTATGTTAGTTGATTGGAGAAAGATGTTTATAATTATTGATCGTCAATTCACTGGAATCATTCATTTGATTGTTTTCTTTTGTCGATTTGGTTTTAACGATTTTTTCTACTCTCCTTCATGATCTTTTTCATCATTGTCATTAGGATGATAATGATAATGATCTTCTTCTTCCTTCTTCTCTCTCATTTTGATTCATTTTGTCTTCTAGATTTTGATGATGCGTTGAGAGGAATTAATTATCTTTCTCCAATTCGTTCTGTTATTAACAATATTATTCTTGTTGTTCTCCTTTGGGCTGATTATCAATTTTTTTTTGTTTTTGGGTTAAAAGGGTTAGAGAGGAGGAAAGAGAAAAAGAATTTGAAATTCAAGGTCAAGGAAAATTTTGGTGGGAGTTGAATGTTGTATAACAGAAAACACAGAACATGAAACCTGAAGGTTCATTCGTTTCATCATGATGGTTATTGTAACTCTTTCTTTTTCTTTTCTTTCTTTTTCTCTTTCTGGTTTCCAATAGCTTCATGAGCGAGAGAGAGAGAGAGAGAGAGAGAGAGAGAGAGAGTAGTGTGTTGTATAACATGTTGTTTCTGGTTCTGGTGGAAATGTTGGCTTGATAAAGTGAAATGCAAAACGATATTTGAAAAAAGATAAACTTTATCATCTCCAATTCAGTTTATCATCATGCAGACTCGTTGATTCCTTTCATTAGTTTCTTTCAATGTTTTGTTTTGATTTTTGATTGATTATCATGATGATGATGATGATACACTATTACATACACATGATAATTATCCCTTCATCATAACAGTTATGATATCAATAGTAATCTGGTTTTTTTTTTCATTGATAAATTTATGAGAACTGGAGAGAGAGAGAGAGAGAGAAGGAAAAAAAAATTAGTGATTAATTGTAAGGTGAGAATAATAAAAACTATTAGATTAACCGAATCTTAATTCTAATCAATATTTGATAAGTAAATCAAATGGATTATAAAACTTGAAGGATTACAGATGAGTTATTCTTGTTGTTTTGATTTCCCTCGTTTTTTTGTTATGATTTACTCATCAGAATTGAAATGTTCATTAAGATGATTAACTATTATTATTAGAGAAAGTGTAGATTAGTTTTATCAACAAGAGATATTATGTAAAAAAAAAGGTAAATATTTATAACGATTGTAGTGAAATTAATTTCCTTAAAAATTAATTACATCACAATGTAAATAAGATGATAATTAATATAAATAAATCTCATTTGTTTGTCCTGTCTAGATGAGTTTGGACCGGTTGGAAGGGGTGGAAGATAAAATTCTGGTTTTTTTCGGTGAGAAGAGGATAAAAGTGATAGAGACAAAGTCCGCCTAAGGTGAAGACGAAGAAGAAGAAGAAAAAAAAGAAAAGATGATTAAAATGATGAAATAAGAAAATAGAATAAAATATAAAACAGAAAAGTTTGGTAGCCCGGGTTCGGGAAATTCCCAATAAATATTATCCAACACTCATAACTAACACTTCCCCTCGTCACCACCACCACCTCCTCTTAAGCATCATCAAGATGGAGAGAGAAACGAAAACCGGAAAGAAGATGGATAAGGTATGATGATGATGATGAACATCGCCTTTGGTCAGTAACATTTTTTAGATTCCAACGTTTCCTTCATTGAGAGAGAGAGAGAGAGAGAGAGAGAGAGAGAGAGAGAGAGAGAGATGATGATGATGATTTCTTTTTTCTTCTTCACTGGCTGATGATTGAGATGATGAGGTGAATGACGAATACCTGAAAGAAAAAGAGGAGGAAATTGTTTATTATTATTATACTTTTTTTTTATTTATGTTTCATTGGATATTTACTGACGTCACAAAGAGTAACTCTCTTATTGGGTGAATGTTAAACACGTTTGGAGAGAGAGAAAGAGAGAGCGGGCTTTCCAAGTCAATTAACTAACAACAACAACGATGACTCATAATTCTCGCTCTTTCTTTACTTACCCTGATAGCAGGTTACCTTTTTTTACCTGTTGAAGTTTTAAGATATAATCAGAACACGTAAAAAGTATCAATTATAATCACTTAATCATTCTAATAAAGGTAACTGTTGGTTGAGAGAGAGAGAAAGGAAGGGGAAGGAAAAGATAGAATAGAATTTAATTTTTATTCTATTCTCTTTTCTCTCTCTCTCTCTCTCTTTAAGGCTCACACTCTATTAATTTTCTTGTGATATCAATAACAACGAACAACCATCAAAATAATTGTAAGGACATTTAATCATTTCATCACAAGGTAATTTGTATGGAGAGAGAGAGAAAGAGAAAATTGAATTTGACAAAAAGGTAAACAAAGTAATTATTAAAGCTTTTGGTAAGAAAATGAACTGAAAGTGTTAATTCAAGATCAAGATAATTTGGTTATTAGTAAATTTAGAAATTAATTTTGTTTGGACTATGAGAAAATGGCGGATCAAAGGTGATAGAACGATAGAGATGATGGTGAAGAACGAGTTGGAAACCATGTGAGGTAAGAGAAAGAGTTTTACAAATGATGAGAGAGAAAAAAGAGAGAAAGATAAAAAGAAATCAATAGAAAACAATGATTCATATTCTTCATCTTCATTTTACTCTTCATGATTATCTTCATATCTTTGCTAACGATGAGATGTCAAGATAATCTGATGAGAGAGAGAGAGTCGAAGTTGAGAGATGAAGACGAAATGAACGGAAGATAAACTTACTTAGACTTTGGTAGACAAGAACCATCAACATGTGAACAAGAGAGAGAGAGAAAAATGATGATAAAAATGAAAGAAGATGCACCAAAAAGAGAGGGAAAAAGAAAGAGAGAAAAGAAAGAAAAACCATTTTTTCTAAAATGATGAGAAACGATGATAATGATACCAGAAAGAATAGAAAGAGAAAAAGAAAGAGAACGATGATGATAAGGAGGATAGAAAAGGGAACGTTAATGACGTATGTTAGGTAAGTGTATATTCTGAGGGGATGCAAGTGAGAGAGAAATGATGATAATGAAGAGAGGGAGAGAGAAACTTGAATCTTTACTCTAATTCTGAGAAAAAAATTGCATCACTCTAATTCTGATTGGCTGGAAATGACGTCATCCCTTTTTCTCATTGGTTCTCAGTGAAATGAGTAACCAGATATAAAAGGAGGTAAAAACAATTCGTTTGTCAAACCAACTAAACATTTTGAGAGAAACATTTAAATCACATTTTTACATCGCCGTTTTAATTGTAAACAATTTACTTTTTCATCAATTCACTTTTACAATTTAACTTAATTGTGTATCTTCAAGTCTTTTAACTGTTTGGTGTTCGATTGTTTTCTTTTGATCGAACGTTTTAAATATTCTCTTTTTCGAACGTTTTTTCTTTATTTACGTTTTGTTTTTGTTTCTTGTTCTTCTTTCCTGTCAACAAACACACGAGGAGTTTAATTGATCTTGTGGATTTTTTTCTTCTTCTTCTCATCTTTTAATTAATTTTGAGATTTTCTTTTTTTGGTGGTTTTGCTGCTTGTCAACTTGGTTTTGGTTTTCTTTCTGAGTGACTTTTTGTTTCTCGATTTTTCTGGATTTTTACCGTTTCTCTTTTTTTCTTTTCACTTGTTTTTTCCTGGTGGTTTTCTTGTTCTGCTGTTTTCGTTTGCTCTCATTTTTCTCATCAATCTGGCCAAATATCGGCACATGATCAGCTACTAATCAGTGGGCCATGCTGTTCCATAATTGTGGTGATCGCAATTTGAATTTAGACTTAACCGCCAGCTTACCCTTTACCCAATCAACTTATTTCTCAAGACACTCTGGTATCTACAAAGATCCTTGTAAAATAATCTCTAAATTTGTTGATTTTGACGAACCAACGGAATCTGATCGATACATTGGTGATCTATCTATTGACGAAGATCTCGAGAAAGAGATTGAAGTTGGCTTTTTTGATAATCTAAAAACACCTTCAGAAGAGTTGAAAGGTTTCACTCCAATCGACGAATCAAACCCATTGGTCTCTGGTTTAATTGCCGCTGTTACTGCTGCTTATAATTCAACAACTACACCTACTTCACCGACACCATCGTCTGCAGCTTTCTTTATTACTTCTGACGCAATCAAATCAACAGAAAATTCATTGATTGTTCCCTCCTCTTCTTCCTCTTCTTCCTCACTTCCTTCATCATTATCTACAACTCCATCAATCACACCTTCACCATCTCCTTTACCCTCGGCAGCCACTTCTACAATATCAGTTATCTCTGATACTGAGATGGAAGAAGATCGTAAATCTATTCATGTATCTCATCACCTGTCACATTTACAAGTTAAACAAACATCAAACAATAATACTGATTCTCTGATGACACCAATCATTGATCCTAACGCATCCACAAGTGAACCTCATTTCCCAACTTTCGATAACGATAATGTTTTCGGTCAATATTTACAAGAGTTGACTCAAGCTGTTTCCTGTGACAATCAATCTCAACAATTACAGGCTCAAGATATTAAGCCAGCTTTTGGTTTGGCGCCATCACCAGTCATGTATACTGATCGTTCACATCATCATCACCAACACCAACACCACCACCACCAACAACAACAACACCAACATCAACATCAACAACAGTTACAACAACAACAACATTCACTTGATCAATCATTGTCGATATCAACCCCTTCTCTTCACCATCTCCACCACCAAACTCAGCAATCAACTAATCAGTCAAATCTAGACAGATATTCAATTGGATCATCGACAATTTCAAATCAACATGATTTCGAGTATCCAACAACCTTACCCGGGATCTCTGGTTATACTAATCGTTCAAATAATTTATGTGATGTTGATCCAACCTCATCGTCTCTTGGAATGGTGGGAACATCACCCTCTCTCACACCTTCATCAAGCACCTCATCAATGAGCTACGCTGAACTTAAACCTCGATCTTATTCATTTTCTCAACCCTCAACAAGCCTCTCTACCGATAATTTGGTTCCAACCGTAGTCGAAGATCACCCGTACACCTCCCGACACAACACTTCGTCACCTTTTGATGTTCAACCCTCTTTCTCACCACCCTCATCATGCCCATCAACCTCATCCCTGGCATCAACCAGTGACCAAAGGGAAACCAGTCGAGATCTATTCAGCCTAATCAACGATGTTGATTATCCAACTCTGGTCAATCGTAAGCGACATCCAAATAAACACCATGAGTCATCAACTCGTCGAGGTCGTTTAACCAAAAAGGAGAAACTGGACAAAATGGTCAGTGAGGAGAAACGATTAGAATCTGAGAATACAATGTTAAAAGATCAACTTAAAGTAATGGAACATCAATTTAAAGTTTTACAAACCAAAATAACCGACATCCTGATCGATGCTGCTAAACGTAAAAGTTGAACAATTAATCAGATTGAAAAATTTGATTGGTGATATTTAATTGATATTTTTGATTTAACAAGATCAACATTGAAATTTTATCATCACCATTCAAATGTGAAGGGGTTGATAAAATTACACAACAAAAAAAAATCAGAACATTCAATTTAATAACGATTTGAACTATCACATAGTTAATCAATAGATCAACAATTTTTGATTAATGATTGTTACTGGTGTTCAATATGAGACAGACAACAAAAGCATTGGCAATGGTTAATGAAATCTTTTTGTGGCAATGGTTTTTACGATGATCACAATTGAAATTGTTAAACAAAACAAAGTTGAAAACCTGATTAATCTCACTAAATTGTGTTTAACATTTTAGAGAAAAGAAAATGATGATTATGATTTATCTTCAATCCACTCGTTTAATTCACTCACCACCTATAACACACACACACACACAACCTGATGATGAAAATGATGAATGGATCTATTTTAGAAAAGTGGACTGGACAAACAATTAATGGACAATAATTGATGTTACAATTTAATTCTCTCTTTCTCCTTAATTGATTTGTTAAACCTCAAGGTTTATCTTCTTGTCTACTGGTAATCATCAAGGAATTAATCAAGTTAATCACCTGTTGTGTTGGAAACTGATTCCATCCAGTTAAACCTCTCAGACCTACTTAATTATAATCACAATTATAAACAAACACAAAAAAAATGATGCAATATATTGACAAGTTTACATGTTTACCTGTTGAAGGCATTTTTAATTACAACCAATCAACAAGTGAAGGCAAACATGATTGACCTGCAATTTTTTTCTCTCTCTCTCTCTCTCCTAATTAATCTTTTTATCTTTCACTACAATTTATTACTAATTTAATTAGTTTTCACCTCAGTGTGTCTCATGTGTGTATTAGATTTTATGTTTTCTCAATTTTTTTTTTCTATGGATGAAAAAAAAAACATCGACGATCAACACGATTAATTATCTTATACAACTTAACATTATTATACATTTACAATATTTACATTTTACTCTTCTTGGAAACCCACCAATCAAATCGACAACAATTTAACTTAATTGTGGAGGAAATGAAGATAAAGAAAAACCCCAATCAACTAATTATGACAGTCACCAGATGAACGTATTCAAGGAATTGGAAATTATTTTTTGGTAACATTAAGTAAATGATTTTAATGAAAGAAAAGGACAACATGATTAATCAAATTTTCTTAATCATTTTCACCAATTTTTACAATCAAATTAACTTTTACAATTAATTACATTGTAGTTTTAAAAACGATCTCTCCTTCCCACCACCAATGTAACCTTAATTCAACTTTTAAATTGTTGTAAATTTACATCAATTGTGCTTCTAATTGATATTATAAATTACATGTTTAATTGTGATTACATGTATAAACCAATTAGAAGATACAATTGATTAGTGATAGTAATCATTATTGATAATATTTGTATTTGATATAAGACAAAATGTGTTTTTATTATCAAGTTAATTGTTAAAACAAACTTTTCTCGTCTGAAGATGGTTAATCAAATTAGTTAATTGATACAACGTCACATTTCCGTCCGTGTTAAAAGTTAATTGTTGCTATGGTTTTGTCTTGTTTTCTGACTCTTACCCTTTGAGAGATCAGACAAAAAAAATGATTATAATTGTTAATCACCTTGAATTGGTCAACTTTTGGATGGTAACAATTGTATCTCTATAATCAACATTGCTATGATAGATGTTACAATCAACTAATCACTGATTAACTAGCAAAATCAAGGTTAATCACCAATATTGGCTTGAATTAGCAACATTGGACTTTTAATTGCTACAAACTATTTATTTAACTTATGATTTAGCTTTGTAATTTTTAAATCACTTTAAACACGATAATTTTTGCTCTCTTTGCCGCTTAATTAAACAACCACAATAAATTAAACAATCACCAATTAAACTAATTTCTGTAAATCAATTCATTTACATTTTTCATATGCATTTAAATATGGACTCAATTGAAATGTATTAATAATACATTTTTTCGGGTTGATTGGATTTCCTTAATTAATTTTCCTAATCTCTTCAGTCCAGTTAATTCTAACCAACTAAGTTAACTTAATTAATGAAATTAGTTAATTGATACAACTAATTCACATCTCCGTCCATGATAAAAGTTAATTGTTGCTCTGGTTTTGTTTTGCTTTACAACTCTTACCCTTTAAGAGATCATAAAAAATACACTTCTGAACCAGATTTACTGATTTAAGTTTACATCAATTGTACTTTTAATTGTAATAAAAATCAAGGAAATAAACAGAGTAATCAACTAAAGTTTAATTACTCTTATCAAGAGAATAATTGAGAGTACAATTAGGCCTCAATTGATTGGCCAATGTCACCTTTAATTAAGAAATTATTACGAGAAAAATAAACTACAATCGAGATGATTTCGAGTGAAAAAGTCAAAGACAATTAAACAATTTTCTATCAGAATAATTAAGTTTCAAGTGAAGCAGTTTATCAGATTTCGAGCAATAAAAAAATGAGCAAATATCATAGAAACAATATTTCGTTTTCATGATATAATCAGAACGATGATAATAATTTGATTAGTTGATTATGTTTCCTTGTTTTTAAGAACATAAGCTAATCGTTTGTTCATTCCTACGATTAGTGATTTGAGTAGTTCAGATGAATTTCTATTGAGATTATCGGCCAATTTCTGAATAGCATTCCAAAGAGATTCTTTGTCCTGGTAAGAAGGACCATCATGAACCCTATCAGAAAGCATCTTCCACACATTTTCAACTGAATTCAGATTCGGTGACTTCGCTGGCCATTCAAAAGATTCGGAAAATTGGCCTCGAATGTCGTGAAACGTGAACCGATCCATCGTGATCGAAGGGTCCAAGAGAGAGAGAGAGCCCTTTAGACCCTTCAATCACCTTTGATTCTGTTATTGTCTCTTGTTCGTAATATTTTTTTCTTCCTGGTTTACCTTTGATACGATTATAATCATTATTAACCATAAATCGAACTGAATTAGCTTTCACCGCCTCAATAAGCCCATTAGAAATTATTAGATTAATATTAATATTAATGACTGAATTCAGTCATTAATAAGGAGAAAAAAATATTCTATTAACTGAATTGTAAACCTGTTGAATTTTGACCCATTCAAAAAAAGTAAAATAATTTGTCCTCTAACATTTAGCACAATTAACTAATATAATCTACAACTTTTTCGCTTTTTGTCTATATTTTGATCAACGTGTTAATCTCACTAGCTTCCTCTTTGATTAATCTAATTAGATCAACAAATGATTGCATAATTTTAAAGAAAATTGATCAGCAATTTAATTTGTCCACCACAATTGTGATCATTATTGATATTGTATTTAAATTTAACTTTTTAATTGCTACAAACTATTTATTTAACGATGATTTAATGACTAATGATTTAGCTTTGTAATTTTTAAATCACTTTAAACACGATAATTTTTGCTCTCTTTGCCGCTTAATTAAACAACCACAATAAACACCACCAATTAAACTCATTTTTGTAAATCAAATCATTTACATTTTTTTATATACATTAAAATATGGACTCAGTTGAAATGTACATTTTGTCGGGTTGATTAGATTTCCTTATTTACCTAATCTCTTCAGTCCAGTTAATTTAGTTGATTTAAAGGTAAATTTAACTTGTCCTTCCCCTGGTTTATATTCAATTGGTTTAGATGATGATGGAGATGAAGTTAATTGTGAAGATGATTCATCTTCTTGTTTAGGTTTTTCAAGTTCTTTTGCTCTTTCTATTTGTTTCTCTATTATTTTCGCCATCTTTTCCTCGGAATCTTTTTCCAGTTTAACCTTTTTCGCTGCTTGTTCACGAGCGGCAATTTCTTCCTTATCAATGTAGGTTATGAAAACACCTTTTTCCGTCTCATCGACGATACAAATTTTCTTCTGTCCAAGAAATTTACACAATCCAGACAAGGAAAACCATCGAGTTGAATTCATATGCTGATGGTGACGATCTTTAATATATTCCTGGTAAACCATATTCGCAGCGACCCTCCTAGTACCAAATCGCGTCTTTAACAGCTGAAGGAAATCACGTAGAAATTCAGATGAATACTGGTCAAGAATTTTATTCGGATTCTCAGCAAATAATAACAATTGTCTTTGATGAGATTCACTTGAAAGGTGACATTTAAATCCGTTATCATCTCTACATTGTTTACTACACATTTGACAATAAAACTTAAGCTTTTGAAGACCTTTTGATTTAATTCGCTTACCAATCGCCTTAGGTGTCATAGGCTCGTGTTTACCCATGTTGATTAATTGATTAGAAGGGACAAAAAACTGTACAAATTAAAATTTTAGAATAGAAAATTAAATTTCCAAAAAGTAAACAAAAATTTTTCTATTGACAAAAATTGAGAAAAGAAATTGCAAAAGTAACGCCATCTGGTGGTCGGAGAAAAACTTTTTTAGGATCAACCAGAATTTTTTGTTTACTTTTTTGTTTTGATGGAAAAACAAAAGCGTCAACATAATTAATTGATTCTCTTTTTGTTTTCATTGTGATTGTTTGTGATTTATTTTGTTAATTATGAGCGATTATAGTGAAATTAATCGTGAGCCTCTTCGTTTAAAGGGAATGCCTTTGAAGAAGAAAAAGAAAAAGAAAGATAAAGAATTGAAACAATTGAAAACATCCGATTTGATGGTTGATGTGAATAAAAGTAATGCTACAAATGAGAGTGACTCTGTTGTTGGATCAAGTGGAAGGAGAATTGATGAGATTCAATTAACCAAAGCTGAATTGTCTTTCTTAAAGAAGCAGGAGAAACTACAAATGGAACGTGTTCTACAAAAAGCCGCTAAATCACATCGACAATTGGTCGAAGAGTTTAACAATAAATTGGACAATATGTCGGAACATTATGATATCCCCAAGGTTTCATGGACCAAATAGAACAACTTTCAACATAATTTATTCTTTTCTTTGCTATTCTATATATTCTATCTAACACTTTTGTATCATCATTCTCTGGAAAATTGATAACAGCGAAATTCTGTTGAAATTTATCCCCATGATCATGTTCTCAAGAAAATGAAGAAAAAAGAAATTTGTTGAAAATTCTTTTCTCTTTTATCCTCATCCCTCATCCTCTTTGTCTATTTTAACCTTGCATCCATTTATATCTATATTTCTCATTCTTCCTTACCTTGAGATTTTAGTGCTAATAGTTGTTCCAAATTCAATCAACATCAGATTCTCTTTAATTTCAAAGATAACCTACTGAATGGAATTGGTAAAAGATAAACACAATCTAAATTTCGTTGGAGTGAAAAAAAAGCAAAAGACATTTGGATTGACAAAACCTAATGGAAGTTGATTGTATCCACAAATCATGACAGAACTCAGTGTGTCTCAAACATGAGGATTAGTAACTTAATCTTCCTCAATTGTTGGATTTTCCTCATTGTAATCTCCAGAATATAAACAACAATTTGTAACTGATGAAACTTCAATCCAACTTAATTGGATTAATTTCACTGGTTCACATGGACAACACGAGTTATCACAATTACCCTGACCTAAATTAACCTGATTCTCAGCTGATTGGACTTAAATTATCAAAATGTTTAATTCTTGCCGAGCTAACATAATCAACCATAAAATGATATTGGCTAATTCAAAATCAATCCTAACAATGAAAAATGATCAATAGGAATAACAATTAACCTTCACCAAAAGAAATCAATTAACCTCGAGATTTAGAAGCCACAATGATAAAAAAAAACGGAAAACTCAACCTACAACAATCAACAATTACGATATTCTTACAATTTAAAAGCAAACCTCCTAATCGTATATTAAGATTCACAATTGTAATTACAAATCTACTTGGAAAAGAAAACAAATTGACCCTGTTGATTATAACAACAAATTAAGGAGAAACAATTATTTTGCTGTATAATAAACCCAATTAGTTAATCAGTCTGGATAATGAAATGAAGGTCAATTTAGTCCAACACAAAAATTAAACTCTAAAAGTTGATCACTCAATTAGAGTAAAAAAGGAAGCCACCAATCAACGGGAAAAATGTAATTCTTTGGGTAAACCTTGTGCACAATTGTTAATTCAATCAACAAAGATTAAACTTACAACAATCAAGTAATCACAATTTAAAGATGAAACTTATCATTGCTCGATTATCGTCAACAATTACTAAATTTCGCCTCTTTTGATTATTGTTGTTCGAGGCTCTCCTCAAAATCCAATGGATTGAATATACGATTTGCTATTAATAGCAAATAGAATACAAATTGTTAATCAACAGTAAAACCTGTTAACTGAATCAACTTTTTTTTTCTTAATTTGATTTAATTTCTTGTTTTCAACACCAACAGTTATCACATTAAATTGAGAATCGGAAAAGTGAGTGAAAAAAAAGTGATCACAACTCAAACCAGATCATCGATAAAGATAATTAATCTTTCCAGTTCATGTCCATCGTGATTTAGTTAATTAAGTCCAGTCAGAGAGGAGAGAGAGAGGGAGATATTGAGAGAGATTGAGAATAAGATTTGGAAGATTCTTTGATTATCATTGGAAAGTTAATTACGTTGGAGAAAAGAAAAAATCTCAACATTGATTTAGTTTCTTTTGTTGAAGGATTTTCGTTGTTTTTTTTCTGTGGTCATTTCGTTTTATGTGATCAGCTGATTGTTAATCACTAATTGGAAAAGTTAATCAACATGAAAATTGAGCAGATCCAACATATTACCGATGTCATTGGTCATTGGGGGAAATGGCAAAGTAACATTTTCTTTTTTTATCTGACCACTTCCGTTTACTCCGCTTTCCATAATCTTGGTTTATCTTTAATGGCCCCGAGGGTTGATTTTACCTGTGCCACTGCGATTCAAAAGGTAAGTGATTAACTTTAATTGCTGTGTTTAAATATCGTTCTTATTATCATTGATTTGTTCATATCAGAATTTGACTGACCATTGTTACGCTGATTTAGCAAAAACAATTCCTTGTACCAAATGGATTTACGCTGAAACTTTTTTAGTCAAAACAATTATCTCTGAGGTGAGTTATGATTAACTAATTGTTGTCGATTAAATTGTTTTAAAATGTAATTGTTTGCATGCTAAAGTGGGATTTGGTCTGTGATCGAGCTTGGCTTGTATCGATTACTCAATCGCTCTACATGTGTGGTATGACCATTTCCGCTTTACTTTGTGGTCACTTTTCCGATAAATATGGTAGACTTCCGGTTCTTTGGACAGCAGTGGTCACCGAAATTGTTGCCGGACTTTCCTGTGCTTTCTCAATCTCCATCTATCAATATATGATTTCCCGTTTTGTCCTTGCAATCGGAGCCTATGGAAGGTATTTAACTGGCTTCATGTTGGGTAAGTAGATTTTTGAAATTTGGGAAGGAATTTAAATCAATCAATAATTATCGAATTTAATTAACGCGATTATCTTGCATTTCTTATTGCTCTCTAATATTCAGTCATTGAAACGACTGGACCCGAATATCGAGCAACCATGGGAATCGTTTGTAGATTTGGTTGGGCTTTGGGTTGTTTCATATTACCGGGAATCGTTTGGTTGTTTGACAATTGGCGACACGCACAATTAGCGTTCACTTTACCTGAAATTTTATGGATCATCTGGTTATGTCGCATTCCTGAATCTCCTCGGTGGCAGTTTGCTATTGGTAATACACAGAAAGCTCAAGAAGAATTGAGAAGAGCCGCTGAACTTAATAAACGTCGATTAACCGGAATCGAGGATAAATTGGAAGAGCTTAGAGATAGATTTGAAAAGGTAAATTACTCTGTAAACATAATCAATTCTCAACTTAATTGGCGTTTTTTTTTCTATCAAAACTTGTTAGGAAAATTCGGGTGAAGGTGCAGATCGAAAAGCTAATTTCTTTGATCTCTGGAAAACACCTAATCTACGTAAGAACACAATTATCTTAATTGTCGCTTGGTTCACAACGGGCTACGTTTATTACGGTTTATCCTTGAACATTGGTGATCTTGGTGGTAATTTGTTGACCAATTTTGCTATAGCGGGTTTACTTGAATTCCCGTCGTTTGGGTTAAGTTTGTATGCGCTAAAAAAATCGGGTCGTCGTTCGGTACAATTTTGTATCATGTTTGCCGCTGGAATCGGTTCATTCATCGCAATTCCTTTCTATTTCATGCCAATCAAAACAACAGCGATTAACATTGCCCTTGGAATGTTGGTTAAATTTTGTATCTCCATTTCTTATTACACCATTTACATTTATTCAGCTGAAGTTTATCCAACTCTTGTCAGGCAAGTGGGTGTTGGTTGTAATTCTGGTTTCTCAAGATTAGGATCAACTTTGGCTCCATTCGTCAAAGAATTGGTAAGAAAATCTATTCCATATCATGTTAACATCGTTTTCCGAAACTGCATATTGATTATTGATTGTTCTCTTCTTTTTTTTCGCCATCAGAGTCATTATACTCATATAACGGTTTCATTTGCGACTTTTGGAATCATCTCAACGCTCAGTGCATTTCTTGTACTTTTACTCCCAGAGACCAGAGGGAAGGAGATTCCGGACACGTTGTTGGAAGCTGAAAAGATCAGCCGAAAGTCTTGATAATCTTGTAGAGGAAGAAGGAAACAATTAACATGGGATAAGGAAAATAATACATGATAGATTAAATAATTACAATGTTATCGATAACACAACTAAACTACACTGATTGTTGGGTTGATTGTTCTTGTTATTGATTAAACACTTGCAAATTTCAATAAAAATAAACAAGTTTCTATCAAAATATCAAATTATCACTGTTGATTCACCAAATACCAGTAATCAAAGCACATTGGTGAAGGTAATTTGATTTGTTACACATTTACAGATATGATTGTGGTTGATTAAAAAAAAAGTGATGTAATGAAAAAAAATCAAGAATTGTGATTCAAAATTTAACGGGTGTCTTGTTTTGATGATTGGGAATTTGAGATCAATGGTGAAATGATAAGGCCACAATAAACACACGGGAATGATGATTTGAAATGTTTGACTGTCAGTGAATAAAATCAATTGGATTTATTGATTGTTGAAATACAATCTTTCCTTGTTTGTATCGTTTTTTTCAGCTTAATTATTGTTTTCTATCGTCGTCTTTTATTTCTGTACGATTTTGGCCTTTCTCGAGAAGATTTGTACCTTGTATCTCTATGCTTTGTATCTGCAGAATCTTTTTCCCGTTTGTCTCTTTGTCTTTGTCTTTCTCTTGAGGGTCGATTACGTCGTGGCTCGTGATATATGCTTTTTGGTTTTCCCGGACTGAGAGCACTTGAAGATGATTGTGAGCCGGAAGATTTAGAGGATGATGATGAGGACGAAGAGGAAGATGATGACGATGACGATGACGACGAGGAATAAGATGAAGATGAAGAAGAGGAAGAAGAAGAAGAAGATGATGATGATGATGATGAGGATCGTCGTCTTCGTCTTTTGGTTCCAGATTTTTCTATTGACATGTTAGAATCTGTTGATGAAGAATCAGATTCGGAATCCTCTGAAGAACTTGATTCAGATTTATCACCAGATTCACTTGCTTCTTGAGTTTGAACAATAGCAGAAGAGTTTGATTGTTGTGGTTGAGCATCACTAGAATAATAAAACAAAAGAATAGAATATTAATTAGAATCAAATTGAAACCATCAAGATGGACAAATTTAACTTACCCAGTTTCTGGCATGGGAGGAGCTCTCGCTCTTTCCTCCATCTTTTTTATCTTACGCTTCATCATGACAGTTCGTGAAGGTCTGAAAAGGCAATGGTATAGACAAAAGAAAATCATTATGATGATAAAATTAAGAATAAACAGTAACTAATTAGAAAGAAAATTGTCAATAGAAGATGTGGAAACAAATTGAAGAAAATACAAGAAACTAAAGGATAATAAACTATTATTTTCTCACCTAATCACACATTTTCTCTCATTGGTGCATTGATAAGTCCAGTGTCCTTTCTGTAAACATTTTTGACATCTAACTGTAGACAAATCAACTCTGTTGATAAAAAATAAAAAACAAGCCATTGAAACAATTAAATCAGATTAGTCAATCTCTTACCGGTGAAAGAAACAAATAATCAATAGATAAAAACAGAGATTAATTAGTAACTAGCGAATATAAAAACTTACTCTTTTTTCACAGTAGCCACCATGGTGATAAGTAGAGATTATTAAATCACTTAATTGTCAAATTAAATTGTACTAATTGTAACTAAATAAGAATTAATTTAAACAAATTCAAGACAAAAACATGTTGGTCAACAATTTTTTAGAAGAAAATAAAAATAAATCGATCATGTGATTGGAGAATTGAAACTGCGCATGCGCATTGAGATTTTCAGATAAAAGTTTATTTTTATTTACATCTTTTGAAGATCAACAGAGAAATAAAATCAACATTCATTTTAACAAAAATCTTTCATGTTTAATTGTTATTTAATTGTCGTTAAGTAATAAATGGAACCCATTCCATCTACAAGTGAGACCAGGAAACGGTACAAAATGATGTTCCTGCCAATGGATTGTACTGGTCATGTACTGACCATGATTGGTTTGGCCTATCGGTTTCTCTAGCGACGTCATGATATTTTTTTTGTGGTCTCAAAATCTTTTGCCAAATATGTTGCCACGAGTCCATTTAAGATACATTATATTATGAATTTCGCTTTTGATGAATATGAAGGTCCATAGGAACGATGGAGTAAAACAATGGCCAGAAATGCGGTTCATTTTTATGGGACTCCAATTGAACAGGCTTGGCTTCAGGGTGAATTTCATGATGACTTTGTGAACACAGTGATTGATGTTAATGATCAATTGGAGAAGATGAAGTGAAACCTGATTTAATGTTTGTCGATTATTATGTGGCAGTTCCAGTGATTATTTTAGCAAACATCACATGGATTTGTGTTGTCTCTGCTAATCCATTGAGTACCTACCAACTGATTGATGGTCTACCCTTTTACTTAGGTTATTCAATAACTGGTAGTAATTGTAATTGGAATGATTTCAAGAGGAGATTTAGCGTAGCCCTTTCTGGACCTTGTCACAAGCTACACACATATGCAGCTGAGAGAGGATTAAAGTTACCAATCAACAGATTATGGGTTGCATCACCTTATCATTATATCTACATTTATCCATTGGCTTTAGATTATTGTGAAATACCGGGTTTCCCGATGGTCTCGAATTGACCATTTTATCCGACCATTTTTCGCTGATCCACTCGGCTTAGATTTAACAGCCTTAAAACCTCAAGTGCCCAAAATTTACTTCTCTCTTGGTACCATGAGATCAGCTGATATCGTTCTGATGAATATAATACTCAGAATCCTCAAGGACACACCCTATCAATATATCGTCTCGAAAGGTCCAAACGGTGATAAGATTAATTTACCTCCCAATGCAATTGGATCTGGATATTTGAATCAATTGAAAATTCTTCCTCTGGTTGATTTAGTCATATTCCATGGTGGTAACAATACACTAATTGAATTTCTTTATTTTGAAATTATTAATATTATTAAGAAAATGTCACTTACCGTTATTTGGAGATCAGTTTGGTAATGCAGTTCGAATCGTAGACAGGCGACTTGGTTTAGCTCTTCGTCCATATCAAGTTAAACCTGATGATCTTAGAAGAGCAATTAATGACCAAGTCTTAATTTCAACCGAAATTAATTTAGAATTGATCAAGTTAATTAAAGTTATTCAAAAAGAAAGAGAGAAACAATTGATTTCAACTTTAATAAAGAACAAAAAAACATCAAGTTCTTTGAGAGTATTGATCAGAAATTTTGATTTTTCTGCTGTGGGAATAGACTATTTCGATAGATGTTTGCTTAATTGTTGCTTGGAAAAATGAAACAATTAGTTTTATTGTTATCTTAATTTCAGGCGAAACAATTAATAATCTGAATACAAAAATGGACGAATTTCCAGTGGTAAGAATTACCAACGAGTTTAGAATAAAAGATTTTAATAGATTGGTATTTGTTGGTCAATCTCTTTGGCCCAAGCGGTAATACCACCGATTATATCTTTAAACTGAATTAGATGACAATTAACTAAATTATCTTTGACGAGGCGACATGCTTTTTGTGAGGCATTTCCACGGCGACACATGAAAAATACTTTATCCACTTTCTTTGAATCAATTAATTCCTTAATACTATCCAATCCATTTGGTCTATTGATAACATCTAAAGGTAAATTAATTGCATTGGGTAATTTAACAATTGATGCTTGTAATGATGATCGTACATCAATTAAAAGATGAGGTGTATTGGTGTCAACAATTGTCTCCTTATATTCTTGACAGGTAATCCTTTCCTCTGGAGTGAGAATTTTTAAAATTTTACCATCATCGCACATCGGTGTACCACAGAATTGTTCATAATCAATTAATTGTCCATCAATTGTTGGAGAATCACCACAAACAGCACAATTGGAACATTTTTCTCGCAATTTAACATTTCTAATTGATCCAGTTAATCCATCATAAAGAAGCATTTTACCAGCATAAGATGTTCCAAGACCAGTGATCATCTTAATCACTTCCAGTGATTGAAGTGAACCAATTATACCAGGAATTACACCCAATACTCCTCCATCTGAACAATTAGTAACTGTACCCGGAGGTGGTGGTTTTGGAAAGAGACAACGGTAACATGGTGTCTTGGAATCATAATGATAAACAGTTAATTGTCCTTCAAATCGTAGGGCAGCTCCAGAGACCAAGGGTTTATTGTTGATCACCGCGGCATCGTTGATTAAATATCGAGTTGGTGCATTATCGGTGGCATCAACAATAACATCATATTCCTTTACTATGTCAATAGCATTTGTTTGATCAAATTTCGTGTCATAAATTGTAATCGAAAGGTTTGAATTTAATTGATTTAAAGATTCCTTGACTGAAGCAGCTTTAGAAGTTCCAACTCTTGATTCTGTATGAAGTATCTGCCGGTGAAGATTAGACAGTTCCACTTTATCATGATCAACTAATCCAATTTTACCAACACCAGCAGCGGCAAGATAAATAGCACATGGACAACCCAGACCACCACAGCCAACAATTAACACCGAAGATGATTTTAACTTTAATTGTCCATCAACACCAATCTCAGGTAATAACAATTGGCGACTATACCGAGCAACCTCTTCCTTTTTTAAACCACTCATAATTCACTTATGATAGAAAATGTTTGTCGAAATTGTAAATCAATGAAAAAAACAATTAGAAAAACGATTAATTGTAACTAAATAAGAATTGATTTAAACAAACAATTGAACAATTTTTAGAAAATAAAATAAATCGATCATGTGATTGGAGAATTGAAACTGCATGCGCATTGAGATTTTCAGATAAAAGTTTATTTTATTTACATCTTTTGAAGATCAACAGAGAAATAAAATCAACATTCATTTTAACAAAAATCTTTCATGTTTAATTGTTATTTAATTGTCGTTAAGTAATAAATGGAACCCATTCCATCTACAAGTGAGACCAGGAAACGGTACAAAATGATGTTCCTGCCAATGGATTGTACTGGTCATGTACTGACCATGATTGGTTTGGCCTATCGGTTTCTCTAGCGACGTCATGATATTTTTTTTGTGGTCTCAAAATCTTTTGCCAAATATGTTGCCACGAGTCCATTTAAGATACATTATATTATGAATTTCGCTTTTGATGAATATGAAGGTCCATAGGAACGATGGAGTAAAACAATGGCCAGAAATGCGGTTCATTTTTATGGGACTCCAATTGAACAGGCTTGGCTTCAGGGTGAATTTCATGATGACTTTGTGAACACAGTGATTGATGTTAATGATCAATTGGAGAAGATGAAGTGAAACCTGATTTAATGTTTGTCGATTATTATGTGGCAGTTCCAGTGATTATTTTAGCAAACATCACATGGATTTGTGTTGTCTCTGCTAATCCATTGAGTATCTACCAACTGATTGATGGTCCACCCTTTTACTTAGGTTATTCAATAACTGATAGTAATTGTAATTGGAATGATTTCAAGAGGAGATTTAGAGTAGCCCTTTCTGGACCTTGTCACAAGCTACACACATATGCAGCTGAGAGAGGATTAAAGTTACCAAGATTTTGGGTTGCATCACCTTATCATAATATCTACATTTATCCATTGGCTTTAGATTATTGTGAAATACCGTTAGGTTTCTCGTTGAGAAGATGGCCTCGAATTGACCATTTTATCCGACCATTTTTCGCTGATCCACTCGGCTTAGATTTAACAGACTTAAAACCTCAAGTGCCCAAAATTTACTTCTCTCTTGGTACCATGAGATCAGCTGATATCGTTCTGATGAATATAATACTCAGAATCCTCGAGGACACACCCTATCAATATATCGTCTCGAAAGGTCCAAACGGTGATAAGATTAATTTACCTCCCAATGCAATTGGATCTGGATATTTGAATCAATTGAAAATTCTTCCTCTGGTTGATTTAGTCATATTCCATGGTGGTAACAATACACTAATTGAATTTCTTTATTTTGAAATTATTAATATTATTAAGAAAATGTCACTTACCGTTATTTGGAGATCAGTTTGGTAATGCAGTTCGAATCGTAGACAGGCGACTTGGTTTAGCTCTTCGTCCATATCAAGTTAAACCTGATGATCTTAGAAGAGCAATTAATGACCAAGTCTTAATTTCAACCGAAATTAATTTAGAATTGATCAAGTTAATTAAAGTTATTCAAAAAGAAAGAGAGAAACAATTGATTTCAACTTTAATAAAGAACAAAAAAACATCAAGTTCTTTGAGTATTGATCAGAAATTTTGATTTTTCTGCTGTGGGAATAGACTATTTCGATAGATGTTTGCTTAATTGTTGCTTGGAAAAATGAAACAATTAGTTTTATTGTTATCTTAATTTCAGGCGAAACAATTAATAATCTGAATACAAAAATGGACGAATTTCCAGTGGTAAGAATTACCAACGAGTTTAGAATAAAAGATTTTAATAGATTGGTATTTGTTGGTCAATCTCTTTGGCCCAAGCGGTAATACCACCGATTATATCTTTAAACTGAATTAGATGACAATTAACTAAATTATCTTTGACGAGGCGACATGCTTTTTGTGAGGCATTTCCACGGCGACACATGAAAAATACTTTATCCACTTTCTTTGAATCAATTAATTCCTTAATACTATCCAATCCATTTGGTCTATTGATAACATCTAAAGGTAAATTAATTGCATTGGGTAATTTAACAATTGATGCTTGTAATGATGATCGTACATCAATTAAAAGATGAGGTGTATTGGTGTCAACAATTGTCTCCTTATATTCTTGACAGGTAATCCTTTCCTCTGGAGTGAGAATTTTTAAAATTTTACCATCATCGCACATCGGTGTACCACAGAATTGTTCATAATCAATTAATTGTCCATCAATTGTTGGAGAATCACCACAAACAGCACAATTGGAACATTTTTCTCGCAATTTAACATTTCTAATTGATCCAGTTAATCCATCATAAAGAAGCATTTTACCAGCATAAGATGTTCCAAGACCAGTGATCATCTTAATCACTTCCAGTGATTGAAGTGAACCAATTATACCCGGAATTACACCCAATACTCCTCCATCTGAACAATTAGTAACTGTACCCGGAGGTGGTGGTTTTGGAAAGAGACAACGGTAACATGGTGTCTTGGAATCATAATGATAAACAGTTAATTGTCCTTCAAATCGTAGGGCAGCTCCAGAGACCAAGGGTTTATTGTTGATCACCGCGGCATCGTTGATTAAATATCGAGTTGGTGCATTATCGGTGGCATCAACAATAACATCATATTCCTTTACTATGTCAATAGCATTTGTTTGATCAAATTTCGTGTCATAAATTGTAATCGAAAGGTTTGAATTTAATTGATTTAAAGATTCCTTGACTGAAGCAGCTTTAGAAGTTCCAACTCTTGATTCTGTATGAAGTATCTGCCGGTGAAGATTAGACAGTTCCACTTTATCATGATCAACTAATCCAATTTTACCAACACCAGCAGCGGCAAGATAAATAGCACATGGACAACCCAGACCACCACAGCCAACAATTAACACCGAAGATGATTTTAACTTTAATTGTCCATCAACACCAATCTCAGGTAATAACAATTGGCGACTATACCGAGCAACCTCTTCCTTTTTTAAACCACTCATAATTCACTTATGATAGAAAATGTTTGTCGAAATTGTAAATCAATGAAAAAAACAATTAGAAAAACGATTAATTGTAACTAAATAAGAATTGATTTAAACAAACAATTGAACAATTTTTTAGAAAATAAAGTAAACGAACATGTGATTGGAGAATTGAAACTGCGCATGCGCATCGAAATTGTCTTAATTTTAACCCAAATTAATTTACAATTAAAGTTAATTAAAGTTATTCAATTGATAGGGAGAATTTATTTATTTCTAATTTAATAAAGAAAAAAACAAGTTTTTTTGTGAATATTGAACCAAATCAATTTTCCATTTAATTAAAGTAAGATTAATATAAGAATAGTGCAAATATTAATTGTTGATTATTTGCTGATTCCATTGCAATTAACAATCAATTTTGATAGAATGGCAAAGTATTTACAATGTTGCTTTTTTGTTTAGCTTTAATTGAAAGATAATTTCATCTCATTGTGAGCACGTTAATTATCATTGTTTAATTAACTATTCACAATTTACGAAGAGCCCAGAAAAAACCATCTTCTCCTTTAAGATAATCAGGTAAATTTTTTGGATGATCATCGACAATTTCAACTAATCCCTCCGAAACTAATCCTTCAATGATTTTGTCAAATCCTTTGTCAGCATAAGTTGAATCTCGTTCTGCATAACGATCTGGATTAGCCATTCCCCATGAAATGATACCACCTTTCATCAGATGAGACAATTGATTAGTAAATACTAATTAACTTTAATGAGCATTTGCTTACCTTTCTTGAGGAGCTTTAAAAATTGTTTATAAGTTCCAATGTCCATTGGAAAGTGACCTGGACAAAAGACTCCGACCATAATTAAGGCATCGAAAGTTTCTGCCTCAATTGGAAGCTCAATCTCAGGTCCAACATAGGAAATGGTTACATTTTTATAAATATTTTTCTGTAAAAAAAGAATCAGAGAAAATCAGTTAATTGTCCAATAACAATGCTACAATTAACTTACCAGTTTAGCTTTTTCCAGCATTTTCTCACATCCATCTAGCGCTTCAATATTGGTATAACCAAGATCACTTAACGCTTGACCCAAGAGTCCAGTTCCTGCTCCACAATCAAGGATTTTACTATCTTTGGGTAAATTTAATTCAGCGAATCGATCAGCTGTTCCTTTAGGTGCATTATAAGAACAACCCGGCATATCCTAAATTTAGAGACAAAATAACAATTAACAAAAATCATAGGATAATAGTAAATTCATCAATGAAAATGGTCTCATTTGTACCAACAAGTACAATGTATTAATTTCATAAAATTAGATGGTCAATCGATGTAGCAATTTAATTGTCATTCTAACCTTAACCTTGACAATCTAAAAACTACAATATTAATTGAGTGTTTCAATTACAGCATTTCTCAGTGACTTTCGCCGAGTTCTCAACTAATTAGTCGAGTTCTCATTTGGTTTAGTCAATCCAATAGATGGAACATTTTTTCACGATGAGTTTTGAGTTAAGAGATGAAATTAATCATATTAAAAAATTGATCGAATCTCAAGAAATTAAAAGTTAAAAAATAATTAAAAATGAATTTAAATGAAGAAGTTTAATTTTTTACTCAATTTAAAGGCTAATTGACTAAACTCATCGAGAACTTGACCAAATGAATTGAGAACTTACGAAAATCAATGAAAACTCATCGTAAAAAAAATGTTCCATCTATCGGATTGACTAAACCAAATGAGAACTCGACTAATTAGTTGAGAACTCGACGAAAGTCACTGAGAAATGCTGTAATTTGATTAGATTAACTCACCTCTTCATACTTATCACTCCAATCAGCATACATTTTGGTACAATCCTCTTGGGCCATGGGCTTAAGGGTCTCCTCAATGTAATTGTACATATCTTTTTCTGTAGACATGATTAATTAATTTCTAATGATCAACAATTAAGATGAACACAAAGGCAATAATGGAAACGAGAAACTAAATTGAAAATGATTGACTCGAGAAAGACAAATGATGAACCCTTTTGATTAGGTGAACATGTTGATACCTTTAGGAAGACAAAGATGATTGGAAGATGATGATGATAAAATTAGACAGAGAAAATAAACTTTATTTAATAAAGTAAATCGAACATGTGATTGGAGAATTGAAACTGCGCATGCGCATCGAAATTGTCTTAATTTTAACCCAAATTAATTTACAATTGATTAAAGTTAATTAAAGTTATTCAATTGATAGGGAGAATTTATTTATTTCTAATTTAATAAAGAAAAAACAAGTTTTTTGTGAATATTGAACCAAATCAATTTTCCATTTAATTAAAGTAAGATTAATATAAGAATAGTGCAAATATTAATTGTTGATTATTTGCTGATTCCATTGCAATTAACAATCAATTTTGATAGAAACAGAGTTTTAGAATTGAAAAGTTTTGTTGAAAAAGCAAATAATCAACCTAATCCTAAAATTGTTGTTTGAAGTTTATAGTTAATTGCTTTTCTTTTTTTTATCCTCTTTGTCTCTTGATCCTTAATAATTTAATAACTTTCCAAAAACCATTTTATCATGATTGTTGTTGTTGATTTAGTTGTTTTGTTTTCTTTTTTTTTGGTTAATTTGTTGTTTTCTCTCAACCAGCTGAGGCAAGTTTCTGGAAATCATTTATTTTAGAGCCTACACTAAGAGCCATTCCTTGTGATTTTGCTCGAACCCGAACGAAACCATTAACTTTACCATCGGAAGATTTTTCAATGGAAACATTAACCAAAGCATCTTCACCGAAAATTGATTTAGCATATAAATTGGCAGCAAGAAAAGCACAATCGGTGGAAAGTGATTGCTGGGGTGTTAAACACTTCATATTGGTACATTTGATTACACGTTCAAGGTATTCTTGTAGATCACCCACTGGAGTGTTAACGGTAACTCGATTTTCCCATTCAAAGGCAGCCCACATTTTACGAAACTGAACATCATCACAAGTCGCCGGTACAATATAGTCCATTATGTCGATATGAATATCATTTAGAACAACAATGTTACGATCTGAAGTCGATCCACTAACGTCATAAACTAGAAAAGAAAAATACCAAAAAAGGATAAGTTTAAATGATGACAATAAGTAAATAAAAGCCATTAGATTGTAAGTTAATTGGTTTATAGGATTTGGATGGACATGATTATGATTAATTACTTACCAATATTACCAAATATGATACCATTTTCTGTTGATGCAACTTTAACCGTTGCTTTGATATTGGCGAAATCATGAGCTGCCAATACAACGGGTTGAGGTCGTTCGACTAATTTTAAATCTCCCAATGTTGATAGTTCAAGGGTACAGTTTTGTAGGACATCGGATGTTTGATTAACAATTAGCACATCTAGACAGATATCATATTGATTTACGTTAACATAACACTCGGCGTAAACTGGATCTGAGAAGCCGGTTAATTGTGTCACTTTGGAAAGCTTTGAGGCGGATAAAAGGTTGGTCATATTGGTTTTACCATAAGTTGTTGATGTTGCGGTGGCACCAACGATACCACTAAGAGCTTGGGACAAGGATAATTCAAATTGATTTTCAAACATTTCTTGATTTTTACCCAACAATAGTGAGAAATTAAGATGATCATCAACTTCGACAATTTTTTTCTCCTTCTTTTTATCCTTTGAATCTTCAAGTTCTTTTGGATTTGCTTGTAACATCAAATTAAGACATTCCCTCATCTCATTGGTGAATAAACGTTTCATCGTGGTAACGGTAACATTGGATGAGCTTAAAAGTGCATCCGAACCAATTTGACTCAAAACGGAGAGACTAAGATCAATACGATCAAAATCATCTTCACTTATGGTTCCAGTGTGTTCAGCTTTATCTAGAGTCGGTAGTACACCGGAGGTTCGAGCTCGACCAAGATTACGAATTGAAGTTAAAATTAACATGCACTCGGCGATAAATGAATTAACTTTTCTCAATGATTCAGGATCTGGATGAGAGTTTCGAGCTTCCTTAAATTTAAAAGCCAATTTAACCAGAGCGTTAACCAAGGCTGTGGCAACGAAAAAGTCACCCGATAAAAAGTATGATCGAAGAGGTGGAATCTTTTTATCTCCTGGTCGAGATGAAACAATTAACGCTGATTGTGTCGCATAAGAACCATCAGCTGTAACCAATTTATTTTGTCCACTTGGTTCACTATTGTTAACATTATCACTTCCACTTGTTTCATTGGTATCAAGTTTAGCCAGTTCACTGTCAACAATTGGTATTTCACCTAATGTACTTCGTATGGTTACCATTGCCTCTTGAATTAATTCGGGTTCAGTATCTTCACAATATTCACCCAATAACCAGATTAAAGGACGATGAACCTTTGAATTACGAACTGAGCCAAATACTTCGAGAACTTTGGTAACCAAAAGTGTTTTATGCTGAGGATTTTTAGAAATATAATCACGGGCAAAATTGAATACAAGAATAGCCGTTGGTTCATCATCAGTTGAAAGAAATGTGAATAATATGGAAATCAGTTGATCTGAGATTAGTACATCAGGATATTTGAGACAAATTTTGTGTAAAGTTGAAACCAAAGATTGTCGATAACTACTGGTATCCTCATCATCGCTGTTAATTGTTTCACCCATTGTCCTTCCAAGTTCCTTCCTCAGCAAATGGACAATCTAAAGAAAATGAAAGAAAATTGATAGAGAACAAAATTTTACTTCGACTATTCTAAAATACTGTTTAGAATTCAACTTACCTCTTCAGCATTTCGAGAAGAAATTAAATCAAGAGCTAAGGCAAGAATTTTCTGTTTCACTTCTAAATCAGATGCTGCACTCAGAATTCTTATAATATCCATGAGAACATCTTGAAGAACCTTTTCAGCGCCAGGAGTTGAATCTTTAAGGGCAATCAAACGATCCAAGACAATTAGTTTAACATTATTGTCACTCTCCTTGAAGCAAATGTCAATGAAACAATTGGCTGCAGCTCTCAGGGCAGTTGGTGCTTGTGATAGGGTGATTAAAGTTGCAGCAGCCTCGTAACGAACAGAGTTGAGGTTGATGTATTCAATAGGTTGTAAATAGCTCGGATAAATCTTGACCGTTCGGTTGGATTGGCAATACATACTTTGTAAATTAATTCAACAATAACCAATTGCAGAATATCATTGAAACTAGTTATCTGATCTAGACATGAATTTAAATATTCAAGAGCTTTACTTTGATCCAGATGGATCAACATGAGAAAAGCATTTCGTTTACAACTAGCATCAGTTTCTCGGGAAAGAAAGTCTAATATTAATTCAGGTGCATCTGGAATTAATTGTTCAAAATTAATGTAAATCTTAAAAATGGCCAGAACAGCGTTTCGCCTAACATAAGAATGCCGATGCTCTAAACAGGTTCGAATGGATGTCATTAAAGGTTCAATTAACTCGGGCTCCTTTAGTTTACATAAAAATCTCAATGTTGATCCTCTGATAAACTCATTAGGATGTTGTAAATCTTTACGATAAGCGTCACAAACCAGAATCATCTCATGTAACAGTTTACCATCAGCACCACGTTTAGGTACAATTTCCCAAAAGATGAGGAGAAGCTTTTTAATCTCATGATCTTGAGCTGGTAACACATAGCGAATGATGGTCATCAACATACGGGGAGAAAATTTTTCACCTGATAAAATAAGATGAATAAGCTTCTTGAGAGCATCCACCTTTTCCTTAATGTCTCCTTTCTCTGTGGAAAAGGAAACCATAACCAAAAAAAGAAGAGAACAAAAAAAAACAGAGAAAAGAAGAAAAAAAAACAATGTGTCAAAATGGTGATCAAAAGCAAGTTAATATTATGATACGATTATAAGGAACAATATGAATCTTACCTAATTGATTTCGCAAATTTTGCTCATTAACAGCATCAGAATCAAGAGGAGCATTAATAATAGTGTAACAAATTGAATCAGCCTGAGTGGATGTCATGTTGCTTGATTAGATTAATATTTATACTGATGTGTAATAGAAGATGGAGAAGATCAACTAGTTCAGAGAATCAACCAAATATTCCAAGAAGAAAATGATTGATTGACCCACAGAAATAGAAGATGGACAAGATTAGTAAACAATTTGTTTAATCAAGTTTAACAATTTAATCTAAATAACAATTAGTTAATTAAAAATTACAATCAACAGACAAACTTGCCAACGGGACACTGGTAACAAATGGATTGAAGGGAGAACCGGATTTTCTCAGAAATTGAGGCGCGTTTTTTGAATTTGCACAGAAAATGAATTAACTTTAATCATTTTTATTCGTAAAGTTTAACGGTTATTAAAAGATTATTTTTTGTCTCATTCTACAAAATTTTGAACAATTTTCACAGTTGATGGTATTGGTCAAGTTCTTTGCTTATGGTTAGTGTCGAAGACTTATAAGTTTACCATGATTTTCGTTAGTATTTGTGAATAAAAACTGACCATTTATGCTTGCGAGATGACCCGAGATGATATCGAAACATTGATTTTCTTGGGAGATTTCAATATTGCCAATCCGCTGGTAGTAATTTAAGCGTTGAACAATCTTATTTTAGAGAGTAGTGAAGCTAACTCGAAGGTTTCGATTAACCCCCCAGATTTCATGAACTATAGAAGTACGAAAGGTTTTCATCTATAGACTTTATAATTTGTTCAGAAATTACAACGATTCACAAGTATTCAACAAAAAATGGATATATTTCACCTCATTTGTTCGAATTGAATCGAAATCTAACCTTTTTCGCATTTTAATCTTTTATTGTATTTTTCCAGGTAATTCAAGGAAGACCTTATGGTCAGGATAATCCCTCCACAATTTGAATATTTAGTTGGAAGAAAGGTTTTAAAGGTAAAAACTCTGCAAGCTCCTCCAAGATATTTCATAAGCTCATAATCAAGTGGGAATCCATGTAAAAATTTTATATCAAATAACCAACCAAACAGTTGAATCAAAGAAATATGCTGACCAGCAATATTCATCAATACAAGAGATAGAAGCTCCGCCTTTTTCACTATTGTCACAACAATCAAGTCTAATATCGATGGTTTGGATAAGGATGGAATAATCAAAATTGAGGACTTAGAGAATTTTTTTTAATAATGAATATTTAGTTGGTGATTGTGTTTTGAACTCCTACCTTCGATTGATCCAGCGAGGAAATGAGAAATGTAATCACTTAAAGCTACCAAAGATCATGATTTATGATTCTCTATTGTTCTCTAGCTTGGAATTCAACCGGGAAATACCCGCTCATATTTCAAGGTCAAGGTCATAAAGGTTATTCATGAAAGAACGCACTTGAAGGTCATTCGAAGATTTTTTTGAAAACTAGAAAAATTTTTAAGCCTACCTGTGATGTTTTTTATACTTACAGGCTCTGATACAATTTGCTTTCTGTAAAAATTTTTTAAAGTAACTGATTTTGTTTTAGCGCGATAGCAACGTGTTTTGTGATATTATTATTTTTGACTTCATGATCAGGCTTGAAAAAATTTCTTGTTTTCATAAAATCTTCAAATTTACAAAAATGACCTTCAAGTGCGTTTTTTCATCATTTTCAACCATCATCAATTCATCAACAAAATCAACCATCTTCTAAATAAAATGTTGATAATTAGCCAATTATCTAAAACAATTAATAATTTGGAATTTTTTGGTAAAATTTTAATCAAAATGTCCTTTTTATAAACTCTATTGTCAATAAAATCAACTTAAATCGATATCGCTGTTTTATAAAAAATCGATTAGCAATCTAATTTGTCCCCCACCATAACTAATTCCAGTTTGGTCAATAATCTTCATCATCATTTTTATGAGATTTAAATCAGATTCATCTTCAATCAAATGATTCGATGTCATTTCAATTATTCTGATTTATTACTTGAGTAAATTATCGTTCACAGGTCGAGTTCACTTGGCGTAAATGTCAACTACTAAAGGCGAGAAACTCGTTCCTCTGAACGTTACTTTCTTCTCGTCGTTCAATTAGTTCATTTGATTAACTTAAATAATTATGAATAATTCATTATCTTATTAAATTTCACGTTTTTTAAAATCTTAAGTTAGTAAATTTCTTAATTTTAATTGTTGTTTTGCGTTTTCTGTGGAGAATTTTATCGGCTTTTCATGTTCTTGTTATCGATTCGGTTGATTTGAGAATTTTTTTATTCTTTATTCATTTTTGGAACTTTTTCTTTCATGACTTTTTTGCTATGGAAATGGAAATATTATCAACCCTGTCTGGTGAGCATGGTAATTTTATCTTCTATTATCAAGAGATGAAGATTATTTTTTATTCCTAAATTGAAAATGAAAACTGGATAAACTTTTTTTTCTGATTTTTGAAGATTAGTTTTCATCTTCATGGGGAATTAAAAAATTGTGAATCAATTTTCTTGGTGTGATTAGTTGATTTATCGTGATTTAATCAGATAATCAAGATGTTTCTCTCTTTTTTTTACTTGAAATTTATTTGATTAATTGTGGATAATTAAAGTTTCCTTTTGATTAGATGTGTGTTCCTATTGCGTGTTAGCACCTTAAAGGATAACCAATGTTTTCGGCTTTTCGTTTCCAATTGCGTTTCTTTTTTGTAACAATTTAGTCTATTACAACTTGTAGAATGATTAATTGATTGTTAGTCAGTAATTAATGTACATTTTCAAGTTAATTTATCAGAGAATTAAACTAAATCAAGGGTCACAATTAATATTAGAAAATATGATTTAGCCTCTTCTCTATCTAACTCACTTGACGTTCAATCACTTCTCTCTCAGTTCAATTCAAGTTATCATAATTTTCATCACAATCAATTAACTAGATAATTAAATTGTGATTTTCACAGAAATCTCAATGTCACAATCAAATGTTATCCAGTAATTCAATTAATCAACAGATAGTAAGAGAGAGAGAGGAAGGTGAAATTTTCCATAACAATCAAACTATTGATTAACAAGAGTTATGAAGACACTTGAAGAGTTGTAACAAATTAACAATGGAAATTGTTAATTAGTGAATCCAGTTTAATTGTTACATTATAATCAGTTAAATAAAAGAAATTTGAACAACAATTAACATGGGAAATTAAAACTAACAATCAACAATGAGCAAAGATTGAATGTGCCAAAGGTTAATCTGAATGCTAGAAAATCATAATAAGTCAATGACTCACAACAATCAGAACATTTAATTAGTACAATTAATTAGGCAATTTAGAATGGACTTTAAAACATGACACAATCAGAGGAATACACAATTAGTGAAATAAATCAATGAAATTACACCAAAGGAAATCAATTAATCAAAGATAATCAAAAAATGGGTTAACCCATTTTCATAGCTCTCGATCTGTGGATTGAGTCAAACATAATTAGATAATTAACTAGAATTTTCAAAAGAATTTTAATCGACGGTGACAATCAACCACAATAGAATTAAAAATAAAGAAATATAGTTAATTAATTACAATTAGAAACAAGAAAAAGAGAGAGAGGAAAGAAAGAGAAATGAAACTTGTTTGGGAAAAAAAAAATCTCCACTCTAACGGATAATATCAACTCTCCTCATAATATCAATTTACTTTCAACAGTTAACATCAATTTCAATCTAAATCACTCACTGATTAGCTCTCCATGTGAGTTAATTGGGAATCTCAATGATTAACCCTAACCAGAGTTATAATTAGCTAATAGTAACAATTTATTAATCTCTCAGCAAAATAAACACCTTATCCTCTTGTTGCTTTTTTTAATTCACTTTTTGTCTGTTCAGTTTTCACTTAATTGTTGAAGAGTCAGCATCAATTGTTACCTTTTAAAACCCTCATCATCATTATTATTAATATAAATTATCACTATTTAATTGTGTTAATACATCATCAAGATCACAACAATCAAGTTAATCACAACATTTTAAGTGTAAATTAGTGAAAACATCAAATCACAACAACAACAACTCACATCGTTTAATAACCAACAACAACACAATTAGTTAATTTGGTGACAATATCTAAATTGTAAATCAATAACTAATCAATTTCTTTGGTTAATTATTGATCAGTTTACCAACTTAATCATTTCCCTCAATTTGTTGCAGAAAAACGGAAATCCAATTGTAACTGTTAATCGTTGAAACAATTGGAAAGATTAACTTGACAATTTAAGTGTTTCTACTTAATTAAATTACTACAATGAATCAAATTAATTGGATTGCTTGGAGATTAGTATCGTTTTTAATTCATCTTTGTGTAACAATAATCTATTTCTATGGCTTAATTGCTGCCGAATTAACTTATCATGATCGAACCAAAGATTCAATTGAACCAAGTTGGGCTCGAGATTGGAAATTTTTAACAAGATGGAACTTCGTAAGTTAATCAATTAACTAATCTTCCAACAATTAACTTGAAATGATGAAGAAAAAAAAATTATCAAGTCTAATACTTTAATTACTTGAACAATTTAACACTAAACAATCACAGTTAATCAGATAAAATTTACCAACACATTTAACTGACCAGTAAAAAAATGATTACCAATCATGATTAACTTGATTTCCTTGTTCACAATTGACTAATTGTGATAATAATTTAAATAGTTGAATACTTTTCATATTAATTGTGATAAAATTTAATACACATGAGAGACACACAACAATTAAATCAACTAGTCAATGATTAGATTTACAACTTTTTATCCATTGAACTTTTTTTTTGATTAATTAGTGTAACAGAAAGTTAATGAATGTGTTTTAATTTAATTGCAATTAAACTTACGGAACTGTTTAGTTAATCAAAAAGTGAAAGTATTGTTAATGATGATGGTTTGAAAAAAACAAATTTCATACTTCGGTCAACGATTCAGGTCACAATTAACTGTTTCCATCGTTGACCTCTCAACCAAATCAACAATCAAGCAAACAATTTAATAACTAATTGAGTTAATATGTATGATCATATAACTACCAAATAATAGATTTGCTTTATTATCAACAATTAAATCTACTATTTAAATACATGTCTCAACAATCAGTTGATTGTTGATTAACCTCCTTTAGTTATTAAGGATGATAGTTGATTGTGATGGTGATTTAAACAACAACAATTTAAATCACAATTCAAGTTCAATCACTTGAACAATTTTTTAACATTGACACTTGATTTTGCTTGTTTACAATCACGATTTCCAACTGAATTAACTTAATCACTTTGTAAGTAAATTCAGTTGATTAATTTATGATTTTTTTTATTACTTTTGAATTATTGATTCAATTTAACAAGAAATTGATTGAAAAATATTTACAATTTAAATTAACTTGATAATCGTTGAGGTGATCAGACAATTTGAATGGTTAACTTATGATTGTTACACAATTAAATTTAATCCTCTTATTAAATTAATATTGATTGACATCATTTCTATTAATAAATTATGATTAACTAGGATTTTCTTATATGTATTTAATTGATTATTATATATACAAACTAATCAATGATTTAATTGTGACAATCAATCAATTGTTACCAATGTCCAATAATAATTTTCCTCCTCATGTAATCAGATTTAATTGTGATCATGATTGTAATTGTTAGGACAATTTGATGACTTAAATATTTTAGGTTGATGACATTAATTATCATTGATATTTATATATATAAATCAATGTAAGGACAATTAACTGAATTAAATTAATCAGTAAACGATTGATAGGAATTGATTAACTGTCATCATCAACAAATGAAACAATTAACTTAACACAACAATCAGTCAAAACCCACGTAAACAATTAACACACAATTAACATCAACATTGAGAAAAGCAATGATTAAATTAATCATTTCCATTTTAAATATATTAAATTGTCCAATAGCCAGAAAAAAAAACAACAATTAGGCAACAATTAAATGAACAATTTATTAACACCAACGTCAAGAAATTTGGAGAAGTTGAAAAATTAAATTTTCCAAACTCAAGGTAAAGTTAATCATGATTAGGTAAATAGAAGATGAATTAATTGTTATTGTATTCAATTGTATCATCGTCAGTAACAATCAAATGATGATATTAGTTGATTTTAACAACTAAACAACAATTTAAATGCTATTTACAAATCATCAGCAATCAAAAATTACTTTTATTATATACCATTAATTTCAAGGTAAAAGTCAATCGTTAAGTTAATCACAACAATTGGCTAATTAAATTTGAACCCATTGATGAATATTTGATTATTATTAGCAATACAATTACAATAAACTCTGGCAATTTAAATTGTTCACTCTGTTTGTCTAAATTGTTTGATTAATGTTTAATTATCACAAATGATTGATAAAAATGTTGAATGTTTACTTTTTTTTCAACTAAAAAACGGCAACAATTTAAATTGATTATTGGATTAAGTTGATTTACCGGTTAATTAAAATAAACAATTTGATAAATAAACATTAATTTACTGATTAGTTTAAAATCTTATAAATTAACGGAAGTGATTAAACTTTGATTACTTGATTTTACAATCAAATTTCAAGGTGAATCTAAATTTAACTCTTTCCGTTTTCATTTTTAAATACTAATTGTTGCTAATTGTGATTTGTTTTTAAATCAAATGCCTTGAAATTGTGATTAAAATTAATTATCATTTAGGAGACAAACATTATCATTAGTTAATTTGATTGTTAATTGTCAGAAATAAAAAGTTTTCTGATGATACATATTAATAAGTTAAACGTGTTTCTAAAATTAATATGAATCAAGTTAATTTTATAACAATTAACCTTTGACTTAATTAAGGTTATCATTAAATAGTATAAATAATAATCAGTCATTAATTGATAGTGATTTTAATGATGATCATCGTGACAATTAACTAATTGTAATAATAATTGCGCTACTATCAAGAAAGTAAAAGCTACATTTAAGTTTAACGATCTGACAACAAAAAGTGTTAGGAAAAAGTTTTTTTTCAATCATTTAATTTAGTTAATTACAATTAAAAGAAAACACAAATACAATTAATCACAATTAACTTGTTATCATTTAACCCCATTAACCTTTAATATTGAGTGTTGATTAATTGTTGATTGTGATCATCTCTCACTCTCTATTTACAGTATGAGCTAAATGATTACAATCAATATATTGATGATTAATAATTAACCCTTTAATTGTTACTGAAAAGAGTTTATAAAAAGTTAATCATAGTGGATTAAATTGTTGAATGAAAATGATTAAGTTGTTACAACAATTAGCATTATCTAAATCACAATCAATATTTGATTAAAACAACAATTAAATAGAGTTAGTAACAGTTTGTCCAGGTGATAATTGTAGTTAATTGTTGTGGTCATTTAATTGTATCAAAAATAATCAAATCAAAGTCAAGCTAATCACCGACAATTAATCAGTCAATCTCAATGATTTACTAATTTTGTAATTATCTCTCTCTCTATGAGAAATTTAATCCTTGGAGAAAAAAAAATTAACTAAACAACAACAACAATTTATTAATCTGGTTTTAAAACAGGATAAGTATTAAAAGTTAACATTGATTAACTGATTGCGATTGATTAAGTTAATCATCATGTTTGACCTCGCATGATTTGTCCTCAAATGAATATGATTAAATATCTTTAATTATATTAATCTTAATCAGGAATAACAAACAATTTGTATTAACAACTCATCACACAATCAGTTGAGTAAAAAAAAAACTTCAACAAATGAAACTAATTCAATTTAAATTGTAATAATTAAGAAATGATTAAAAAAAACGATGATAATTATTCGGGATTTTAGTTTACCATTAAAATGAATATACAAGTTAATTACTGACCTTAAATTAACCTCAAACCTAATGAAAGGATTTAAATGTAATCGTAATTAACTCTTGTAAATTATTGACTACAAATTTGGCCAACAATTAACTTTAATTTGATACAATTAAACTTAGCACACCCTTTGATTTGTTGTTGTTGTTGTTGTTGTTTTTTTTTGCTTGATTGTTAGTTAAAAAGAAACTGATTTAAAACTTTAATGATATAGTTAAATAGTCAATCAAATTAATTGTAATTTAATATTGTATTGAAAGTTAATTGTTAGTTATCAATCTTGTCAATTATAATTAACTTTTAATAAAACATAACGTTCATCAATATTCATGTTTTAAAGGTTGATTTAGTTTTGAACAACAACAATTTAACCTGAGGATTGTTGATTGTTAATCATTTGAAAAGGTTAAATTGTTGGTAAATCAATAGTGAAATTAATTGAAACTTAACCTTTGAAATCTGGTTGATTAAATGTCTTCCGGGTTTGATTAAATTCCCACTAAACTAAATTGTTTGATATCACAATTAAAGTAAATCAATTTATACATAAATTGTAACTTGATGTCGAGAGTGTCACATGAGAAATCTCAAAGAGTTAATTAACTAATTGTAATTGTATTTCTATCTAATTACAGATGATGCAGTTAATTTTAATGACCTGTCTTCTTGCAATTGATTTAACAGCAATTGGTAAATTAATTTTACACCGACGATCTAATTGTTTAGATCTATCTGGTCATAGTGACAAGAAGCATTCATCAATTGTCCGACAATTAACTTTAATCACTGACCAGATGATCTTCTCAGTAGCTTTTCCAGTGGCAAGTGTAAGTTTAATCAAAAATCCCACAATAAACAATCAAACAATTAAATTAATTGAAACTTTTAATTTCTCTCCAATAAATTGTCAACATGTCAGTTTGTCACAATTACTTTTTGGATATTAAACTCAATGGGACCAGGAACAGTTACCAATGGACCAATTAAATATATTTGGCTTAATCATATTGTGGTAAGAATAACGGAATCATCAACAGATGATGATTGGAAACAATTTACTAATCCAATTGTCTTAATCCAACTAAATAGCACACGATGGTTGGCCCAGCAATACTGATTGAATTGTTAATCACTCCACATAAAAGACCCAAACATCATTTAAGATCAATGTTAATCTTAATCGGCTTTGTGATTACCTTCATTTTTTGGCTGTTTTTTGTTTACTTTTACATTGATTTCTGGTTGTACCCGATTTTGGGTAAATTGGGTACTTTTGGTAAGACTGTATTCATTTCTGGTTGTGTTGTTATGCTGTTGACACTTTATTGGATTGGCATAGCAATTAGTAAATTGTTCTGGTCAGATGAACGAACCATATCATTTAATAATCCACCTCGACCATTGAACCATTTGGATACAACAATTATGACTGGCATGTCTCAGAATTATAATCCAGAATGAGAAATAACAATCAACAAGTTAATTGTTGTTGTATTAGTTTAATTGTAAGAAAATCTAAAATCATCAATTCATAATTTAGCTACATTAATCATCAGAATTAAGTTAATTTGTCTATTTCTTTTTCCTTTGCTAATTATTTTAAACATCATTTGTAAATATTGACATTTAACTTACAACTGAATTAACAATTAGCTCTTGATCTAATTAACTTTGTTATCTAGTATCTTAATTTATTAATTAATACATTATCATTTTGTTGTCTAACTCAATTGTCTAATCAATTGGTTATCATTTAGATTGCTTTAAATTGATCCATTCAAATGTAAATTGTTAATCAAACTTTTTGTTTAATCAAAAAAAAACAATAAAATCTAATCAATGACCAATCAAAAAAGATTACAATTAGATATTAAAAGCTTCAACTGAATTAAGCTTAATTATACATTCGGGTGAGTTTAGTGTTAACCAAATCATTTTAAATCCAGTTTGTTAACTTTGTTGTTGGTCGTTATTATATAATCAAATTAAAGTTAATTGTTCATCATTAGAATCTTGATTAAATGGTCAGGCCACTGAACATGAATGAAGTAATTGAAATCACACGAAAGGTAAGAATTAAATTAATCATTGACCAATTAATTTTCGCAATTAAAGTAATTTGAATAATTGATTTTCTCTTCTTTTTCCATCTGATAGGATCGGAATATCCTGAAACGAATTAATAAATTGCTCAGATTCCAAATGGAAATGGATAAAGAGAAGAAAAGAGAAAAGGAGATTTTTTTTCTCGAATTGGGACTGACCAGGGTCAAGAGTGATTCCAACAATGGTAATGGTCAAGAGTTCGATATCAACTGACCATGGACTCGAACTGTCCATCAACACCAACAAGAACCTTGCCAATGAATAATTGATTGTGTGGTCAATACAAGTTTCCATTAAATTTGATTGTCATTTAACGATTAGTGAGTTAATCATTCAATGTGTTTGTGGATTAAATTGTCAGCCAATCCCATCGAAAGTGATTAAAGTCAATCATCATGTTAAAGGTCAAGCGAGATGATGATTTATTTTTACTTAATTGTAACAATCAATCTCCATGAAATTAGAAATTGAAATTATTTTATTAATCTAATTAACTTTAATCGGATTGAAATGTCTCCATGTTGTTAGATTAATAATTAAATAGTTAAATTGTAAACAATTTGTCTCGATTCACTGGTCAATAAGATTAGTTAAGTTAATTGTGATACTTTGCTAATAATAATTACTAACAATCAATATTAATTGTTATGATGATGATTGTAATTGTTACTTTGGGTTAGGAATCAATTAAAGTGAGAGACAATTGTTACAATTAAGTTAATCTCAAGTACTTATTAATAATGTTGATATTATGATTTAAAGTTAAATCGAGTTGGTTGGGAGAGGAATTAATTTAATTGTTACTATTAATTATGTTTCAACGAACCATTTAAATCTTAATGATAAAAGTATTTATATTGTTGGAAAGACAATTGAATATGAGAATCAGAAAATTAATTGTTTGTGTTTCTTTTCTGGAAAATCATTAATTGTGATTAACAATTGTGATTGTTTATAAATAATAATATTTATAAACGATTGTAATAAATTGTAATAATAATCAACATTGGCAATTTTGATTTGATTTGGCATTTCAATGTTAATCATATTTTGGTTCATGTTATTAATTTGCTGATACAGAAAATTAATCCTCAACAATTGAAGATGATTTAGTTTTAAATGTTTGATTAAATTGTTTGCAATTTAGTTGGGTGAAGATAAAAAAAAACATGATGAAGGTTAATTAACTATGTTGTTGATTTAATTATCATCAATTAACAGCCGAGTGCTTATTAGTTAATTGATTGATTGCTGTTTCATTACCTGGGATGAGAAAGAGAGAGCGAAGGGAAAACTTGATTAGCTTTGATTGTGATGATTAGATTTGATTTAGATTGTCACAGATGATTGTGAATACTTTTGTTTTTAGTTAATTGTTGTTGATCGTTTTATATTTGTAATAATAATTAAGTTGAGTTTGTCGTTCCTCATCACCTAACAGCTCGAGCTTGATTACTCTTTAAGCTTCACAAATCCAATTTGTTAATTGTTACTTTCAATTTGAATATATTTTAAATTGTTACTGATGATTTAATGAGATGATGAACGAAATTTTGAAATATTTTAGATGAAGGATCAGTAATAATCCAATGAAAACCCGTTGATTTGATTGTGTTTAATGTTGATTATCTATTTGGGTGTTGATTTATTTTCGGTGTTAATTGTTGCCGGATTATCTGATCTTCTTGTCCAAGGGAAATCCAATAATCCAGATCCAGATGAATCTTTATCAGTGGTACCAAAAAGAGCGTCACTTAGGGTTAATCCTTTCAACGAATCGGTATTAAAGGAATCAACTGATGGAAATCCCGAAGCGAAATAACCTGGAGAGTCTGAACCTGAATCACTTCCGGTTAGTCCCAAGTTATCAAGTGAACTTGAATCACCAGCACCAGAAGAACCAGATGAACTTGAACCAGAGTTTGGATTCGATGAACCTGAATTGGAATCAGATGAACTTTCATCGCCCATTTGTCCGAGTAAACCTTGTTCGATTTGCTGTTCGATTTGTTGTTCAACTTGAGCTCAACTCCATATTCAACTCCTTTCTCCAAGTCTCTTAATCCTTTCCGATCAGTTTGAGGAATTGGCCCTGGTCCATCACGATAACCCGAATAAGGATCTTCTTCAGCCACCGAGGGTGAATAGGCATCAGATGATGAAGAATCAGCTTCAGGTTCTGATTCTTGTTCAGCTTCTGGTTCAGCGTCTCCTTTTGCTCGACCACGAATTTTGGGTTGCTCATCTTCGGTTTCCTCACTTTGTTCACGAACTACTTTGGCCTTAAGCTTTTTCTTTAGAACTTGTTTACTTGATCCACCCTTACGTTTCCTTGATACCGTTGGGGTTGGTTCTAATTGCTCCTCTTCCCCTGTTTCCTCAGATTCATAAGGTTTAACTGTTCGAGCACCAAAAGCCAATTTACTTGGTACATGTGATGAGGTTGATCCACTTTCACCCAACATTGGCAGCATTTTAGGTGATTCATAAGCATGATGACCATGATGCTCATGATGCTGTTCATGGTGTTGTTCATGATGCTCATGGTGGTGATGGTGAGGCTTTTTCTCCTCATGACTGTTCACCACAATATTAGCACCACCCTTTTTGTGACTATTAAGAACTACGGTTCCTCGATAATCACGAATCACAATATTTTGAGCACCTTTTTTCGGCGAATTGACCACAACCGATCCACCACCTCCTTCTCCGTGCGATTTACCTTGAACCACGATATTAGTTCCACCTTTATCTCCATTGACCAACAGGTAACCATTGAAAAAGACCAATAAAAGGTAACTCAAGGGTAGAGACGCTGTTTTCACCAGCATATTAGAAGATGATCAAAGTAAAAAGAAAAAGAAAAATACAATTAATCCAATGGGCACGATGGAAAATCAGATCACAATTAATATAAAAGAACAGAGAAGAATAAAAAATTCAATTGTAATAATAAAGTAACTTTCTAAATCCTCTGTTCGTTGTTTACTGGATTAATATTGTCACTCAAATGAACAAATTTTAAAATGATCGTGTAAAAGTTGATTACAATTAACGAACAATTTGCTTAACACAATCTAAACTAAAACTGAAATCTAAACTATAATTGTTAACCATTTATATAATCATCGATATGGTTCATTCGTTACCAAAAGTAATTGGTGGTTAATTGTTGTCGTTAGACGAGAAAACTTATTTAAACTGGTTGAGTAGATGAGTAGACGAAAGTTAATCAAACTTTTAGAGTCTAAATCAATTTGGTGATCAAACCTTTATAGTTACTTAATTTTTACCTGTAAATTGTTTCACTTATCATCATCTTCATCTTGAGGGTATTAAGGTATGATGATGATGATTCCAATTCCATTGTCAATTAAGCCAAGAAAAACAACAAAAAGTGGTGATTTAATTATCATTAATTGTGACACTTTTGTGGTATTGGAAAGCTAAAGGCAGGAAGAAAAGTTAAATAAATGATTAAGTTTTCGTTGATTGTTTGGGTTGATTATTAGTTTAAATGAGGGTAAAACATGATACAAATTAAATTTTCTTTACCTGTAATCATCATTATCAAAGATAATCATTCATTTAATCACAAACTAATTGAAGGTTCTTCCTTTTGATTTAACCGGGAAAAAAAAGTTACTTTGTTTATGTTGATGATATTGTCTATTTATCGGTAATGATGATTATTGTGTTGACATTAATCACAATCGTCTAAATGGTTTTAACAAATCAACGATAATCATTTATGATTTACAATCAGCATTTATCTCCTTAACCAAATAATTTAATCCAAATTAAATAATATATATAACGTAAGTATAATGAGCAATTAATTGACAGAAAACACCAAACGGAAGCGTTTCAACAAAAACAAATCAATGATGGTTTCCAATTGAATCATTTAATTGTTGATACACCAATCAAGAAATCGTAATCATCGTAACCAGTAATCAATCCTAAATGTAAGAAAATAAACATTTCTGATTAACAACAAAATTTAGGTGAAAATTTGATATAAATATACAATAGAATTGATAACAATTCCTTATTATCCCTTTTTCTCATTAAAAAACAATAAATCTCATTTGATTTAATTGACTAATAGAGATATAGATTAATTGTAATTGGCCTAAATTCAGTTTACACGTCCGGAAGATATTATTAAATTGGGCAAACATATAAATTTATAAGTAGTTAAGGATGATCTTATATGTTCTGATATAAGATTTTCGCATTCATGTCGAATCATGAAGAATTTGCTTCAATTCATTTCCCTATTTGGAAAATATCGAACATTCAACAACTAATGTTAATCTTCTGATGGAAAATTATTTTCAAGCTTATGGTATAATCACAACAAATTGAAACGTCTTGATAATCGTATCGATTTATCAATAGATTTGTCCCATGTTCTGAATTTCGCCGATTCCATGACTAATCTTAAACTACTCTTCATCAATACTTTGTACCAAATTAGAGAGCATACTAAGTTTTTTAATTCATCTTTGGATGTCTGTTCAGTTCGGTAATTTTTTTATCCTTTTTAGATCCTATTTCCAACTATTATATAATATAATGGACCAATTTTTAAGAAGCTCTGTATCTTTAATGGTAGTAGGTTGTGTTATTATATCACTCGAATTCTAGACTTTTGTCCAAATTTACGAAATCTCACTCCGATTCTTCCTAAGTGGACCTAAATAATCCAAATAAATAGTGACATTAAAAACCACAATTTACAAGGATTATTTATCAGTCTTGATCATTCGGTAAGTCGCTCACGTCGATCATCAGATTTATTTTGATTATTATAATTTTCTTTCATTTTTATTCTATTAATAGTATGGATACGATATAATTCAAATTGTGGAAAAATTTTCTAATGTTCGATATCTTAGAATCGATGGAACCTTAACGGAATCACAATTAACTAAAATTATCAGACTACTTCTTCATTTATCAGTATTGGTGGTTGATGATGGACTCCACGGCCACTCGCTAACTATTGACAGTGTTGATCGAATCAAAACATTTTGTCGATCAAAAAATGTAAACATCAATTTTTTCTGTCAATGTAGTTTCCCTGGTTTAGAAAATAACGAACTTTATATTAATAAAAGTTTCGAAACTCATTTAAACGTTTAGTTAACAATTTTAATCAATAAATTGTTGTATCACAGTTATTGTATATGATTGAATAACAATATAATTCAATAACATGTTCTTACCTGAAAATTAAACTTGAAGATTATTATCGACGATTAATAATTGATTGATTTTTATATTTTGAGAAAATAGACTTGAATTGATTGGGTATTTGGTTAATATCTGATTAGAGTTTCGAATTCGTTAGAGGAAGAGCAACAATATTGTTCTTGATTAAATGGTCGATTTCTGTGTTTTCAAGTTGATGATCAACGAGGAAATCACGAAGATTATCTATTTGTCTTTCGACTAAAACTGGATTAGCTGTAGTACGATTAAGTCTTGGTGCTGGAATCGGTGATCCATCGGAAAGAAATGATTTCGCTTCCTTATTGTGGCTAAATTGTGACGCTTCGTCAAAATTGACCACTGGCGTGACACAAGCATCAACATCTTTGAAGATTTCGATCCATTCGTTTTGTGTTTTCTTTGAAAATTTTTCTTCCAATTGCTGTTTCATCGCCGGGTCGATTATTCCAGGACTAAAATCGCCTTCAAGACCAACCTTATCAACCAATCGGGCAAAGAATGGAGGTTCCAATGAACCAACAGCCATGAATTTCTCATCCGCTGTTTTATAGACTGAGTAAAACGGAGCTCCACCATCGAGAGTATTTTCACCGGGTTTGTCGTTATTAGGCCAAATGAATGAGCTAAGAAATGGATGAGCTTTTGACTCACGAATCCACGTAGCTAGATAACTACTGCCTTCGGTCATATTTGCATCAACCACTTGACCAAGACCCGATGTGTTTCTCTCCACCAAAGCCATGGCTATTCCAAGTGCACACAAAGCCCCACCGGCGGCGAAATCAGCAAGAAGATTAATCGGTGGACGAGGAACAGATTCTGTTCCTGAATCTTTGAGTAACGAAAGAACCCCTGACACTGCGAGGTAATTGATATCATGACCCGCTAGACGAGAAAATGGACCTTGTTGACCATAACCAGAAAGTCGAGCATAAATTAGACGTTTATTTGATTTCATTAGTTGTTCAGGCCCTAATCCCATTTTCTCCATGACCCCAGGTCTGTAAGGTTCGATCAAAACATCAGCCTTGGAACAAAGTTTCTCCATCAATTTGATCCCTTCCGAACGTTTCAGGTCAATTTCAAGGCCTTTTTTACCTCGACTTAGTAAACACTTCAACGGATCTCCTCCGATCTTGCAAAAGAAATCAACAAAATTGATTAAATCGCTAAATCAGTTACCAGTTTAGTGTTAACTAACTTACCTTATCAACTTTAATAACTTCAGCTCCAAAATCACTTAAAATTAACCCACAAAAAGGAGCTGGAGCTAAACCAGCTAATTCGATTACTCTGATATTTTTTAAAGCCATAAGAGATTTAAATCAATTGACGAAATTGGAAAACTAATTAATTAAAAAAAAAAATACAACAAATTCTGTACTTCCAGTGATTATTTCCTTATTCTAACAGCTGATTAAGATTCACTTGAATGATGACTTCAACTTGAAACTTGTGATGATTATTGTGTTGACATTAATCACAATCGTCTAAATGGTTTTAACAAATCAACGATAATCATTTATGATTTACAGTTAGCATTTATCTCCTTAACCAAATAATTTAATCCAAATTAAATAATATAATATATATAACGTAAGTATAATGAGCAATTAATTGACAGAAAACACCAAACGGAAGCGTTTCAACAAAAACAAATCAATGATGGTTTCCAATTGAATCATTTAATTGTTGATACACCAATCAAGAAATCGTAATCATCGTAACCAGTAATCAATCCTAAATGTAAGAAAATAAACATTTCTGATTAACAACAAAATTTAGGTGAAAATTTGATATAAATATACAATAGAATTGATAACAATTCCTTATTATCCCTTTTTCTCATTAAAAAACAATAAATCTCATTTGATTTAATTGACTAATAGAGATATAGATTAATTGTAATTGGCCTAAATTCAGTTTACACGTCCGGAAGATATTATTAAATTGGGCAAACATATAAATTTATAAGTAGTTAAGGATGATTATAATTTAAATTAAAATCCATTTACCTGATTATCGTTGACACAATTTACACAATGTAATTGCGCCAAAACAAAATGGAGTCCATGTAGTGAATAACAACTTAAATTACCTAAGTGTCCAATGTCCAAGAATCAAGTGTCATCCTTGATAATTGTTCTAATTATTTATCACAATTAGTTGACGATCAACAGCAACAATTAACAACAATCAAAGTGAAACTGAAAAGATCACAAAGATGAGATTATAGAAAAACAAAACCAACAAGAAAAAAAAAGAAGAGGAGAAAACAAAATGTAAAAAGATGAACAAACAATTCACATAATCACAAAGTTGGAGTTAAATTAATTGTTCCAATTAACTGATTGTAATGGAAAACGCGATTAACTTTGTTCTATTTGGAATAGAATTTAATTCAATTAAACCGGGTAACAATTAAAAAAGAAAAGAAATACAACTTGTCAATCTATTTTCTATTCTCTGTCTAGGTGATGACGTTTTCTTTTTTTCTTTTTCTAGTTCTCTTTCTTTTCTATTCTTTTCACTTTCATGTTCTCTTTCATTTCTCTTTCTCTCCTTCTCCACGTCTCTTTTTCCATCTGTTTTTTATATAATCTTTTCACTTTTCTCTCAACCATTTTCTCTGTTTTTTTTTATTCTAATTGTAACAATTAACTGATCATCTTTTTTTTTAAAGTGAAAGAATTGATTGTCCATCGATAATATTTTCTACAATCTATTTGTGATTAAATCAAATCTCCACCAACACCAAGGAATCAATGTAATATCCATTGTGGAAGCTCAATGATTATTTTTTTTCTTCTATTCTCTTTTAATGAGATAGTTAATTAATCCATCTTTTTTTTCTGTTTCATTTCTTTATAATCCCCATCATATGGTTAATCTAAATTGATTTTTCTAATCTGCTTTGGGTTGGAAATTAAGTGGAAATCAATTTGTTTCTCTTGTTCTTTTTCTCTTTTGGTGACCGGTGGTGATTCCCTTTTTTGGGTTAAACCCTCAATTCTTTTGCATATGTACCAGTGTTTTGGTTGATTCTTTACATTGGAATCTCTTTCTCTCTCTCTTTCTTTTGGAAATCAATTGTATTCTTTTCTTTCTAATTTATTCTAATTCACCCCCTTCTCTTAATTAACTGATGGGCATCACACACAGTGCATTGAATAATCTGAAAAGCAATGAACATCTCAGTAAATTTGCTTCCAGTCAACATATTCCAGTTGAAGATCCCTTTTGGGATGATATGCTTGGTTTCTCCTTTAATAGAACAATCCGAACCTTGTAAGTTAATGAGAAAAAAAATTCTCTCTCTAATCACCAGTGTAATTGTTGGAAAAAAAAATCTAATCTATTTCCTGTTTTCTTTTTCCTCACTTCCAGAGAAGAAACCAAACTATTGGAGGAACAGGTACTTCCTCTTCTGGATTCACTTCTTAATCACAATTTAAGTTCAAATAATCTTGGTTCCTTGGTTAAAGTTCTCATTGGTAAATCAATCGCTCTAAAAGATGAGCTCAATAAAGAGACAAGGTATCAACAATTAATCCAAATTTACTATCACCCAACAAAAGGTCTTATATTTTCAAAATCTATATGAAGATCATCAGATAGATTATGTTAATTGTTTACACATTCATGATGTGGCTTCTTGGTGATGATGGTGAAGATTTTACTTTGCTTGACTTATCAGCTGTCAATTCTAGAATGGATTTAGTGTTTTTATCAAAAATCATCATGGAAATGAGTTGATTGATCAATGATTTTAATTCTCTATTTTCTAAATTTTCTTCTCCAGTCAAAATGTTTTATTATGTCAAACATTTAATTCAATGTTCGTCATTAGGTGTTGCTCGAAACACTTGATACAAACCCTGACCGAGGAAAATGTCCTGAAATATTTTGTTTCTCGAACCATTGGACCTGGAGGAAAAGAGATAACTTCAACTGGAACTGAAACCATGGAATCACTAATTAACAATCTAGTTTCAATACTTGTTGATATTCCATTAAGGTTAGTGATAGTAAATTCAATCCAAAAATGAGATAAAATGATAATTGTTTTCTCTTTTCGTATCCACAGCGATTTCTCATATGCTCTTCACTGTGAAACGATTAATCTTCTGTTGGTACTTCTATCAGTTCAAATGTACTCGGCGAAACCAGCAAACAAATCGGTCATCTACAGATGCATCATGAAAAAATGTGCAATCCATTCATTACTATTAACCAAGTGTCTTATCAATAATTTTATTCGTCAAGATATTCCACCTCGATCTGATGGAGGTTCTCTCATACTTGACCTGGCCTCAGGCCTTTGGAGTGCATTAACATTAGGCTATGGGAAAAATGCTACCGATGAATCTGTTAAACCAGTTTTAGCTCGATTAAGTTTAATCCTATTATTAGTACTAACTTATCATTGTACAACCGATTCAAATCCCTATCGTGAAGCTTTATTCAACTGTTGTGATCTCCAGGTTGATAGTATTGGTGTTGCCAGTTTGGTTTCTGGTTTCAAGATGAACTTTAATCAATTATTTACTACTCTTTGTACAACCCAGAATGATGATCAATCAACTCTCCTTCTTTACATGTTACTCCATAAGAATCCATCGTTTCGAGCTTTCTTAATCAGCCGAACATCACAATTAGATGATTTAACAATTCCCGTTTTAAAAATACTTTACAATTCCAGTGAGAAAAGTTCACATCATATCTACATGGCCCTGATTATCCTTCTAATCCTTAGTGAAGATCAACTATTTAATCAATCTATTCATGATATTGTAAGTAAAACAATCACCAAACTAATCAACATCTTTGCACAATTGAATTGACACAATTATTATTATAAATATTGTCAAGTCTTGATCTGTAAAAGTAATTGTTTATTGGTTGTATTACTTTTAGATTATGTTACCTTGACTACTCAATAATAATAATAATAATGACGATTGATAATGATAATTGTACAATGATATAAAATTTTATTGCTGAATTAACTAATTGTTTTCTCTTTAATATCTTTTACAGACTCTTAAAAATATAACTTGGTATACAGAACGAACTCTATCCGAGATCAGTTTGGGTGGATTAATCATTCTGGTGATCATCCGAACAATTCAATATAACATTTCTAGAACAAGGGTAACTAATTAATAGCAATTTAATTAACTAACACGTATCATAAGCACATGAGAAACAAATTAAACTTTTACCACTAATTGTTACCTTTTTTTTTACTTTGATTATTTTCTTGCAGGATAAATTTTTGCACACTAATTTATTGGCAACTTTAGCAAACATGTCTAATCATTTTCGACGATTAAGTCCATACGTTTGCCAACGATTGGTAACATTATTTGAGAGAATATCAAAAAAATTAACCAAGATCTTAAACAATCAAAGTGTTAATAATTTAAATGGGAGCAGCGGGTCAATTGGAATGGGACCAGGCGGTGATTCGGGTGAAAAATTGTCCGATAAAGATACCGATATAGCCTCGACTGTTGGACCATTGGATTCGATGCAGGATACATCGATCTACGAAGAGGTGATTCGAATGCTATTGGAAATAATTAATTCCACTCTATCATCTCAACTGATTCACAATCCAAACTTGGTTTACCAATTACTTTACAATCGTCAGGTTTTTGAACCTTTCCAAAGTCACCCCTCATTCCAGGATATTATCATGAACATTGACACAGTATTGACCTACTTTTCAAATCGAATCGCTGCCGCTGAGGATAATAACTCTTCGGTTGCCCAAGTGTCCGAGATAATTCAAAATTGTTCCCTCCAATGGCCAGCAGATAAAATGAAGGTAAACATAACACCTTAACCTGTATTCGTAATATTTAAATTAATCAATTGTTTTTTGTTTCTTTTATTTTTAAATTACAGAAATTTCCTGAATTAAAATTTCGCTATGTGGAAGATGATAAACCGGAAGAGTTTTTCATTCCCTATGTTTGGTCAATAGTATTCAAGTCATCGGGAATCTATTTCAATACGCTGAATATACTTTTATTTAATCCACATCGAAATGTTATTTAATTCTTCAGACTAAATAATCTTAATTTAAAAGCAATCAAATTTGATTATAATTGGAAATCATTTCAATTTTGATTCAAACGAAGGAGCAAAAAAAAGAAACTTTTTTCTCGGTGAGAAAAATTCGTATTTAAGAGTCTATTTGTTTGCTCTCGAATCGAAATTATAAATGTTAAAAAAGGCGAAAAGTTCCAAAAATTGTCTTGGAATTTATTGGAAATTCCATCCATTGATCTTCATGGGGAGAAGAAAAAAAAATTTAATAAACCAAAATCCGTCAAAACGAAAATGAATGCGTCAAAATAAAATTCGAATGTATCATTGAAACTTTCACATTCTTTTCTTTAATAATATCGATTACATTTGGAGTTTTCTTTCTTTGCATATGATTATTCCAGAGAATAGAAAGTAAATGTCAATAAGAATCTGAGAATTCCAAGTAAAAATCTTTGTTTTTTTTTCGGCACAAAGAGAGAAAAATATTCCATTGGTTATCAACAATCATCGAGATGAAAAAAAATCAAATGAAAAGTTGATCTAAATTGTTGATGAATTTAAAGTTGTCCACAATTCTCAATGATGATCTCCTCTTGAGGTGACCCACTTTCCGTTCCCAGAGCTTCAATGGCAAGAACCACTTCCATCCCTTGAATGACCTTACCAAAGACGACGTGTTTACCATCCAACCAATCGGTGACCGCAGTGGTGATGAAAAAGGACGACCCGTTGGTGTTTGGTCCTCGATTGGCCATGGAAAGTGTTCCAGGGGAAACATGATTGAGCTGAAAATTTTCATCTTCAAATCGTTCACCATAAATGGATTGTTTTGATTCATCTTCGCTTATCTTTCCACCTTGGATCATGAATCCAGGGATAATCCGATTGAATCGAGTCTTCTTGTACCCATAACCAGGTCGATTAGTACACAGGCCGATAAAATTGTCAACCGTTTTAGGGACAATGTCAGATCTCAATTCGACCACAATTCGTCCCAATTGTTTACCATTCACCGAAACATCAAGAAAACATTGAGGTAATGAAGACATTGTATTGGAAAAGGTTGATGCACACAAAGAGTTAATTAACTGATTATACAAGATTAATTGACTTCTTTTTCGGTTGACAGATAATATAGAAGATGACAACAGTGGTTAATTAATGAGGAAAGAACAATTAAAAAGGTAAGATTGATGAAAATGGTGAAAATCAATAATAAGAATAAAGTAAATAAACTATATAGTAAATGAGAAAAGGATAAACAACAAAGAGAAAAATAAAAGATAATTCTAATTATAAATGAACAAGTTGATTAAAAGATAATTTAAAAATGAATACCAACCCTTTAGAATGTTAATTAGTTGATTGGGTGGAGAAAATTAATCAGAAAATTAAACAAATTAAAGTAAAAATGGATAATCAGATGAACAGAATTTTTCTCACAAAAAAAAGGTAAACAAAAATTTTCAAAACATATGATTTTGCTTTCATACAGAAAAACAAAATTGAGAAAATCAATTTAAATTAATTTAACCAATAGAATCAAACTATAATTGTTGATTCAACAGTTAACTTATTATTTTTTTATTAATTTTATTTCCGGTGATCATTCAATTGAGAAATTAATACCTGTAAATGATGCTAATTTATAATTCAGGGCCTTGGGTTGATTATTGAAAAGGGGATTAGTTAATTTAAATACTTTTGGTTATAATTTAGTCTGGAAATTTGAGTAAAATAGCAATTAAGCAAGTTAAATCGTAATAGATCAATGATTGCAATTCTCAATATAATTGGCTATAGGTGATAGATGGTATTGATTGTTGACTTTTCATTTGTGAAATCATTTATCTTGGTTAATTGTTGAACTTGGATCAACACTGAAAACATTAATAGTTGCTGACAATTTCCTGGCAACGGGCATGTCCCCAGATGATGTTGAAGCGGCAATTGTGGATTCGAGTAGTTTCTTGGGTGAAATTACATCAATTCTAAAAAAAATGAGAAATAAAAAAACATCAAGTTGTAATTAGATACAGAACTTAATTAGTAACAAGGGAAAATGATTATTAAAGTATTAATTATTAATTACTTGTCGTAGATAACACCGTGAACACCTTCATTGATTAAATCTTCAACAATTGAAGTTGTGTTGATTGGATTGCCATAACAAAATAAGAGTAATCCTTTGTTGATTACATATTTAACCAATGATTTATCAGTGATTAAATTTTGTGCATAACAATTAACTCCCGAGAATGCCATTGCTGATGCATAATAACAGGCCATTTCAAGGCAGGTCATTCTTTCTAGATCGGAGGTCATTTTAACCATACGATCTTCAGTGTAAGTCAGAAAGAGAACTGGAAATTTTTTCTGTTTCAAGCTAATCCTGTTAATTAGATAAGAAAAGAAAAGCAAAAATCAAATTAGATTATGTTAGTTAAGAGTAGAGAAAAGATAATTGTGATCAAGACAAAAATTATGATTAGTTACAACGATTAATCAGAGCACTCAATTGTCAACAGTGTTAAAACTTGTTGTGCAATAACAGTGGCAACAAGATTATCAATTATATGTAACAAAATTTACAATCAGTTACACCTTCAGAGACATTGACACAATTATATTTTGTTAATTGTGATCAATGTCTAATTGTAAGTTTGTTACTTCATTATTAAGTGGGTAGGGTAAGAGGGTGTGAGAGGGAAGATTAAGTTAATTGCACCCTAATGATTAAACTTTTGTGGTTGAAAGTTTGATGGAAATTACAATCAGCTAATTGTAATTTTAGAGTATAAAAGATGACAAATTGTTTGATCAATTGTGTCATGAATTATTAATAGAATGGTTGATAATCAAATTGATTCAATTGTGTCTCAACTAATCAAAATTAATTGTATAAAGGATGTTGTCTAAGTTAACAGGAAATAGTTAATTACATGGCACAAACATCAGGATCAAATGATGAGAAAATTATATCACGATTATTGTGATGATCAAAAACTGTCTTCAAAATTGTATCAACGAAATGATTAAGATCCTTGTAACAACCACTGCCCGTTTCATATTTGACCTCAACGTTAAAAGCACAAGGGGTAACCGTGTTCAATGCGTCTTCCAATCTACAGAAAGGTTGATTGTCTTCAGTATCATCGGCATGGAAATCAAATGGTCCATCATGATCTGTAAGAGAAATTAAGCAAAATGAACAAAAATTAAACTGAGAAAAATGATGATAAATAGTAGAGAGAGAAAAAAATTACCCTTACCGCGTGAAGGTCCAAGCTAATTAATATTTGATACCAATTAATTGTCATGGAATATGAAATAATTAATCAAAGTGAAACAATCAACAGATAATCAACTTACCTTCAATATTTTAAGCTGTTGATAAGTTAAATCTTTAACTGGAATCTCTAGAATTTCAACGTCATTTGATCCTTTCTGTTAATTGTAAGAAATCAAAGCACAATTACGGTTAAAAATCAAGAGAAACTCAATTGTAATCTTATAACAATTTGATTAACCTTTGTTAGTGATACGTTGACGGAGAAATCGTGATACAATATTGGAATATCGTCCTTGGAAAGATGAACATCAAATTCAACCATATCAGCTCCCTAGTGTGAGAAATAAATTTACATGAAGATTAGTTTAGTTCTTGATTGTAGACTAATTAAAATTGATCCAATATAATTGACATTAAGCTTACATGTTTGATCGCATGGTTTAAGGATAGAATTGTATTCTCAAGGATATTATCCGATCTGTGAAAAATAAAATAAAAAGTATTTAATTAGTTGAATGTTTCAATTTTATGCCATTCAATCAGAATTTGATTGTTTAGACTTGAAAATAAATTAAAAGTTAATTATGGTAATTGGATAGATCTTGAAAAGGTTAATTCACGATTTTGATTTTTACAGTGATTAATAGTTAGTCCTCTGTAAATGATTTTCTTACACTAATTTGGTTATAAATTAAATTGTTACATGAGTTATGATGGAGAAAATAAAATGGTTAATTAATATACTGGTAAAGGTAATTGAATTTTGTTCAACCAGACAGAATTTTTTGACTTCTTTCCTCAAGGTAAAAGGACCCCAACCCTTAAATTAACCATCAACATGATTAATGGTAATCAATATAATGATAATCCTTCAATATTAATTGTCTATTACTTCAAATGGGTGGGATAGTTCATTTACTATAATAATAAATGTTTCTCTTGGACGGTAATTGGACTTACAGGTCATTTCTTCGGCTAACTCCAGCTCCCCGATGACCAACATGGACTCCATTTTTGAGGAAAATGTTAAACTTAGAACAAGGCTCCTGGTCCAATTCAAATGGATACGGTTTAACAATCAAGTATTGAACTATTAAATTAGAGAGAGAAAAATTACCCTTACCGCGTGAAGGTCCAAGCTAATTAATATTTGATACCAATTAATTGTCATGGAATATGAAATAATTAATCAAAGTGAAACAATCAACAGATAATCAACTTACCTTCAATATTTTAAGCTGTTGATAAGTTAAATCTTTAACTGGAATCTCTAGGATTTCAACGTCATTTGATCCTTTCTGTTAATTGTAAGAAATCAAAGCACAATTACGGTTAAAAATCAAGAGAAACTCAATTGTAATCTTATAACAATTTGATTAACCTTTGTTAGTGATACGTTGACGGAGAAATCGTGATACAATATTGGAATATCGTCCTTGGAAAGATGAACATCAAATTCAACCATATCAGCTCCCTAGTGTGAGAAATAAATTTACATGAAGATTAGTTTAGTTCTTGATTGTAGACTAATTAAAATTGATCCAATATAATTGACATTAAGCTTACATGTTTGATCGCATGGTTTAAGGATAGAATTGTATTCTCAAGGATATTATCCGATCTGTGGAAAAATAAAATAAAAAGTATTTAATTAGTTGAATGTTTCAATTTTATGCCATTCAATCAGAATTTGATTGTTTAGACTTGAAAATAAATTAAAAGTTAATTATGGTAATTGGATAGATCTTGAAAAGGTTAATTCACGATTTTGATTTTTACAGTGATTAATAGTTAGTCCTCTGTAAATGATTTTCTTACACTAATTTGGTTATAAATTAAATTGTTACATGAGTTATGATGGAGAAAATAAAATGGTTAATTAATATACTGGTAAAGGTAATTGAATTTTGTTCAACCAGACAGAATTTTTTGACTTCTTTCCTCAAGGTAAAAGGACCCCAACCCTTAAATTAACCATCAACATGATTAATGGTAATCAATATAATGATAATCCTTCAATATTAATTGTCTATTACTTCAAATGGGTGGGATAGTTCATTTACTATAATAATAAATGTTTCTCTTGGACGGTAATTGGACTTACAGGTCATTTCTTCGGCTAACTCCAGCTCCCCGATGACCAACATGGACTCCATTTTTGAGGAAAATGTTAAACTTAGAACAAGGCTCCTGGTCCAATTCAAATGGATACGGTTTAACAATCAAGTATTGAACTATTAAATTAGAGAGAGAGAAAATTAGTTTCAATTATTTGTACACTTGTCAAGAATCACTATTCACAATGCCCTTTGCTATTTACCTTTAATTGTACCCACAACATTAAGCTCAGTGTCAATGATTGGAGATTGAACCATTCCAGGAGATTTGTTCTCAAACATGGCAAAAGAAGACACTTTAGGCTTTTCATCATCAGCGAAAAAAATTCAATTCGAATTCCCTACAAAAGAAAAAAAGAGAAAACAACATAAGAGAATATCAGTTAAATAAAAAGAACATTTACCGGTTAAAAAGAATAGAACAAAAAAAGCTAATGACTCAACCGGTGAAAATGGAATAGAAAAAGAAGCAACAAAGAGAATTTCTTTTTTCTTTTGCCCAATTCCAATTTAAACCAATTTGATTGTTTAAATTAAGAGAAATTAATTAACTTACCGTGAGATTGTTTTTAGTAATTGTTTTGAACAAGAAATAATCATCTGAATATTTAATACCTTTGGATGGTTGAACAGCAAAGGTCGATCCATTTTCGTTTAAAACTGTAACATCAAAGGTAACACGTTCTTCATCAGTAGATGATTGGCTGATTGGTGAAAGGTGAATTCGAAAATCATAATTTCCATTGTAAATTGATGAGGATAACCAAGAGATTGGACTAAATGGAATTGAAATAATGAAACACTTTTCACTCTTTTCCATTTTGGAGTAAGAAAAGAAATTAAATCTAATTGTTTCACAGAAAACGAAAACAAAACAATCAAAATATTGAAAAGAAAAAGAAAAACAGTCTTAAAATCAAATAGAGAAAAAAATTCCAAACAAATGAAAGCAAATAGAAAATATCAAAAGGAGTTAACAAAATGATTAGATGAACAATTAAATCACAATTAAAATTGATTCACTTTCATCAATTAATTTGTTGGAAAAGCAAAAAAAAATGGATAAGCTTGAAAATCGTTGAAGAAAAAGTGGCTCCATCTGTTGAGCGAAAAAAGTGACATCGAATTTGGAAGGGAAAAATGAAAATTCGAAAAAAGTTCTGACAAAGGAAAAGGAAGATTCAAGTTTCTCTCTGAAACTATCGATTCAATGATATAACAGATGGCGACTTTGAAAATATTTTCTCCGATAACTATTGAATTCTGTTGATGCCCATACATGAATATATATATATACTTTTAAAAGGAAAACATGATAGAAACTCACATATACTACAGAGAGAGAGAGAGAGAAGAAGAAGACGAAGAAGAGAAAAAAAGAAAGAGAAGATAAACTTTTATATATTCCTTTTCTTCGGTGGTTTCATGATATTCTCCCTCTCTCAAGCTCCCACCTACTTCACCCCTTTTCACTTTTTCTCTTGTCTCTCACTCGAATCCTATCTTTCATCATCCTCATAATCTAACATTCAGCCTGCCTTTTACTGTCCAAGTAACTGTTCATTGTAAATGTAAGTAAATTAAATGAAGAATCAAAATTAACCATAGAAAATGATTATACCTTAATTGTTGGGTGAAAACAATACACTTTCTCTTTCTTTCCTCTCTCTCTCTCTCTTTCTTTCTTCCTTCTTTCTTTCCTTTCTCTCCCTTTCTTTCCCTTAACTCTCTGTCTATTTCAAATCTTAAGACAAAGAGAGAAAACAAAAAGTTAATTAGTTAAATTAATTACAACCACCGACCATAGATTATTATTATTACTATTATATTATTGGAAATCAATTTTTAATCAAGTTTAAGGTGAAACTAAAAAGTGAACAATTTACTTCAATCAACCATCAAAAACTAAAATCAACTTAAATCATCATATAAATTGTTCTGAGTTTGCTTCCAATTGGATATAAATTTCAATTAATTGTGGTTTTATGCAAACTTAATCATCTTCAAATTGTGAAAGTTCAATTTTATTCAAATTGTTCTAATTGTAATCATAATCAAATCTCTACATTCAACCTAAAATCCTTTGAATCGTTGGGTTTTGTACCTTTGGAGTGTTAATTGTCAATATAATTTCATTTTCCATCTTAAATTGTTTAACTTTACGTTAACCCAAACGGATACTTCGAGCTGGATCCCGAAGGTGAAGAACCTCCCAAAAAGGTCTTTGGCTTTGACCTTGGGGCTGCGTTTACATCGGCAAAAGATCAACTTCGTCTGTTCCGTCAGCGAGATAAATCAGAGTAAGAATTGAACGAAAAGGAGAGAGAGCAAGAGAGAGAGATAAAATTGTTTTTCCATTCGAAAACAATTCAAATCTTAATAATTCTTTATCTTCATCATTTTCTTTTCCTCCTTGTAGACGATTAACTGATTTTCCCAATGAAGAAGATGAAAATTATGAACTGCCGACTCTTAAAAGTCAACCATCAGCAAATCCTCCCGACCTGATAGGGTAAGTAAACAGTAAACAATTAACTAATCACAATCAACATAATAACAATAATCAACCAACTCAAACAAAAAGCAGAAAAAGTCAACAAGTCAAACATTAGTCTTAAAATTATTATCAAACTTTTATCAATAACTTACAGAAGAAAAAATAATCACTAATTGTTACAATTTAATCATCATAATCAGTTGATGATAAACAATCAAATATTTTGCTTATTTACCTCATTCGATAAACTTTAATTGCAATCTGATCACAAGATTGTAATTGTTAAATTGTTTTTCCCCATTCAAAGACAAATCTAATGAAAATTTTTTACCTTAATCCTCATCTTAATCCTTTACATCATCATCATCATCAATTGTTATCACCTAAATTGAACAACAACAACAACAACACGTAATCTACATCTTATCAACACCCACATGATTCCAACTCCCACCGGGATTTTGTGTCTAATTGTTGTGATTTAATGTTTATTGTGTTACTTTTATCATCTCTGTGAAATCCCATGGACTTAAATAACAATAACGATGAACCACCCACTCGATTGATGTTGAAATGCTAAGTAGAAAACTTCAACAACAAGAAGATGCCCGATTGCGAAGTGGTAACCGTGAGTTTCTCACTCGAATGGACACAATTGTCGGTGAACGAACTGGACTATCCCGTTATGTTGACCCAGAGTGTCCCTGTTGTAATCTGTCAAAGCGTTACACCATCGCCGTCCTAACCTCAATTGGATTTGTAATTAGCTTTGGAATCCGTTGTAACATGGGAGTTGCATCAGTTAAAATGTTTTCAAATTCAACAGCAACCGGAAAGGTAACAACTCATTTCAACAATTTCAACAATTAACCCTCATTAAAACTCATTCAGATTCATATCAAAAAATCAAGTTAAATATTACATGATATTATCATCGTCATCATTTTATTTACAAACATTGGGAGTGAAAATGTTATCATCAAAATGATATAAACTTTTAGCTTCATTTAGTAATTTTTATTTTATATACTAACTTTACACATCATCATGATGATATCATGAAACATAGTTATGACATTGAGATGAGCCAGGAAGATGAAATTGAGAGAGAAAGAGAAAGAGAGGGAAATGATGATATATAAAATGATAAGTTTAGTTTGAGAATATGAAAAATATATAAGTCACAGAATCGACGGAGTACAGAATCGAAGTACAGAGTTTGCGTGTTTCCATTTAGTTCTGAAAGTGAACATGAAGAAACGAGGAACAAGATAGAAGGAGAGGAAAAAAATTCGTCAAGTCAAACAGATTCATCATGAAAGATACTAAGTTATTCATTTATTATATCATATAACTCATATAACTCATCATGACTTAGATTTCATGGTAATTTTGGTTTCATCAAGTTTGAAATTTTCCACCTTAACAATGTATTCATAAGCTTTTACAGATGATTCCCTGATTGTTAATGGTGTAAATATTTCAATTTTAATTGTTGTTGAAATTGTTACTTTTTCCTTAAACATTTACATTAGTATGAGCACGAAAGTTTTTTTTTATCAAATCATTTTCTTATTTTCACTCATCAGAATCATGAATTATCATGCAAAATTTTCAGAGTGAGAGAGTTGATGAAAGATTAGGAGGAAAAGGAAGAGAAAATGATAAGTAACAGTTTCTTCCTCTTCTCCTGTTTATTTACACCTTTATCTTCATCATCATCTTTATCTAATGGGTTTACATAGACTCTCTCAGAACTCTCTCTCTCTCTCTCTCTCTCTCTTTAATTGTGATTAAGGTTCATGTTGGAAAGTTAAGGTTTGAACGTCATTCAGCTTGACAACTCACATGGTAATCATGATTGACGAGCTTGGAAACCAACATGAAAAAAGTTCAGATGATTCAGAACATTATTCTGGTGAAAATGAAGAAGAAAAAAATCAGATGAAAAGACATTATATCAATTAGAAAACAGTTAATGAAGATAAGCTATTGTTACTGTTATTTTTTATTCACTTATCATCTTAATCATCATCATCTTCTTCATCTTCAGGTTCATCGATTTAGTGATTATAACATTCAATTGATGATTAGTTAGATAATACAATTAACTTTTCCAACCATCATGACGATCATGAGAAAAGTCAAAATTCAAATAAGAGAAAAGGTTTTCAATTTCATCTCGAAAACTTGTAAAAGGAAAAATTTGAAATTCTAAATTGTCTGAATGAAGAGAAATAATCAAAAAAAAACTTTCAATTACAATTCTCATTGATTACCATGAACAAAATATTCGAAAAGAAGAAAAAATGATTTACTTTCATTAATTTTTCTCTTCAAACCTCATTCATCATCTCGATAAAACAACACATTACCTTTTCCTCATCTTCCACCTCCCACTCTTATATACCTTCACTTTGCATCATATTCCTTATAACACCTTCTTCTATCATCATCATCATCATCTATTAATAGCCTAGGGCGATGTCTACAAGGTCCACATATGAGAAGTAAAAAAAAAGAGCTTCATAGTACAAGGTTGAAGAAAAGCTTTGACATATTTCACTTACAAGACGCGAAGATGATGAAGATAAAAGGATACAGAAGATGAAAGAAAATGATGATAAAATCAATATCTTTCTTCATCTTCCTCCTCATTAATTTCAATCTTCATCATCATCATCCAATTCACTTCCTATTGATGTCCTAAACACCTTCATCCAAATGATAATAGTCAATAGACTAACCAATATACAGAATGAGAATGATATTCACAATCAATTCTTATATATAATCATCACCATCATCTTATTCATCTTGATATTCATGATCAGAATATCTCATGAATTTTCACTCCCATTTTCTCATCTCTTATCGTATTCAATTCATGGGTTATACAAAATAATAATATCACTCTTCATGATAACCTAATAATTTTCATCTTTCATATTGTAAATCAGAATCACAAAATTACATGAATCTTGTAATATCAATGAAGAGCAAAAATATTATCATGAAATTTGATGAAAATTTCAAACTGATTTTAAAACTTTCACATTACATGAAACTGAGAGAGAGAGAGAGGATGAGATTTAATCCATTTCATATATAAATCAGAATTCAAGTTAATTATCATCAAAATTGATGAGGAAAATCATTAATTATCATTAGTTTTATCCTTCAATCAGTGAATATCTAAATGAAAGTTATTAATTGTTGATTAGCATTATCTCATTTACTTAATATTGATTATCATCATTAGTAATCGATTATGTTGATTACTGATTAACATTGTCATTAACGTTGATGTTTAATCATCAACTAGATTACATTAATGTATTTGCCTTTGAAAAGTCAAACAATCATTGATTATGATTATAATCATGATGATTTAACTTTTAAATTAATGTTTACCTTTTGTTTTTTTTCCTAAATATGAATCGTTCATTTTAATAATGATATTTACAAATCTAAATCATTGAAGGTTGATTGTTGACAATTTATTCAACCATCATCACGATATCATTATTATCATTTGAACAGTTGAATTGTTTCAAATATTGATGATTTGCTTTTAAATTGTTTCAATGGTTTACAAAGTGTATAATTTACATGATAATTGTGCCTCTTAATTGTTAAACAAATTAACTAATAATAATATGATAATTGAGTTATATTGAAAAAAGAAAAGGAAAAAAAAATATTTCCTCTCACTCTCAGGAATCTGAATCTGAATCTGGAATTCAGGTGAAAATTATCATGATGATGATGATATAAAAAGCTAAATAGTTTTGTACTAATCAAAGACAATTATCTCATCTCATCTGATCAGTGATTAAGTCAAAATTTCAACAATTAAGAGAAACAATTAATAAACAATAAATTAGATTCTAAATATCAATCATGTAGTAATCTGATTATCATGAAATTCATTGAGGATAAAGTTGATTTGACTTTTTGTTTGGAGAGAAAAAAAAATCAATATTGATTATGATTAAAGTTAATTGTGAGTAACTTTGTTGCTTTGGTGTCAATTGATTGTTGGAAACCAAATTAAATTAATCTAATACAAAATTTCAATTTTTATTCAAAAGTAATTTCCTGTTGATTAACTCGGATGGTGATAATTAATATCATCAGATGAATGAATTTAATTACGATTATATATTAATGAATGGAAGGAAATTGTTTCCAGAAAATATCAGAATATTTTTCACTCTTATTGATGATAAAAGGGAGAAAAGAAAGAAAGAAAGAGAGAGAGAGAGAGAGAGAGAGAGAGAGAGAGAGAGAGAGAGAGAGATATTAACATGAAGATCAGCTGTTACCATGGTAAAGTTCAAATTCTGTTTACATGAGTTGGTGAAAATCGAGTCAATATTTTATGAATCATTTGAATCGATAATTTCAATTTTCAATTTCTCTTTTCTATTAATTAACCAAATTTAACTGATGAGTAACTAATTACACGAATAAGAGTCTCTTGATTTTACTGATGATTTACTAATTGTTCAGTTAATGAGGATGTTAATTTTTTTTCAAGTACATGATGTTAACTTTATCATTATTATATCATAATAATCAATGTTGTTGTTGATTGTTCACTAACTGAAATTCTTTATGAACATGGTAACATGAGATTCTGATGGAACAAAAAAAAGTTCGAGCAAAAGAACAGAATCCAAATGGAATCGAATGGACTTGGAGTTTATTTCTTTATCTTCATCATCATCATCATCATCATGAGAAAACATTAAAATCAAGAACAGTACATCTTTCTCTCTTCATCTTCTTTCTCTTTACCTTTATCTTCATCATCATCTTTCTTTATCTTCTTTCTATTATATTAATGTTGTTACTCTTCTTCTGCTTTTTTATACTGTTTTACCAAACAGAATCCGATCGATATTCTGACGATTCTGGGTCCATTCAAGCATTTTCATGATGAAGAAGATGAGAATGATCAACTCAATGTTTTATCAATAGAAAGTAAGAGAGAGAGAGAGAGAGAGAGAGAGAGAGAGAGAGAGAGAGAGAGAGAGAGAGAGAGAGAGAAGAGAGAGAGAGAGAGAAGAAGAAGGGAGAGAAGATGGTAAGATGAAGAAAAAGAAACAATAAGATTTCCAGTGGAGAGATAAGGGCGAAGAAAAGACAATCTCTTTCTCTTATTATCTTCTTATTGTCTCTCTTTCTCTCATCTTCTTTTCCCTTTCTTTTCTTTCTCAACACACATAAAAACCAAAAACATTTCCTCTTTCACTTTCTTTCTTTATCTTCTCTTACATTTCTCGCTCCTCTCAGCAATTTAACCTAAACCATATCTCTCTCCCTCTCATCAACCGTATAAACACACACTCACATACACTTAACCTAGAAACTCACATAACAATCTGAGCATTAGATATAAGATTCTGAAGCACAACGATTATCACTCATCAGAATCATCATTTGCAGAATCAGCGAGAATTTTGATGAACAGCTGATGGTTGATGATCTTTTTTTCCACATGAGTGTTTTCACCATGACAATGAAAACAAAAGGTGGTGGCAGCGGTGGGATTCGAACCCACGCCCCCGAAGAGACTGGTGCCTTAAACCAGCGCCTTAGACCGCTCGGCCACGCTACCGACTTATCAAATTTCTTATCCAAGTAACTAGTTTATCTAACCTAACCCAATCTAACCTAAGTTTCAAATTCATTAACTCAATAGATTATATTTATTTGGATTAAAGATTATCCTTTAATCAAGAAAAGGAACCTGATTATTTATTTAATTATTTTCACCTTTCACCATTAATAATCCGGTTAAGTCTATTTCCCTAGTCAATTGTATTATT